TTCACTTCAAATTTGTGCGAAACGAGACGTGAAGTGACGCGTATATAATTTAAAAAGTTATAAATAAAAAAGGATACACAAGCATTTAAAGGCCTTACATGCGTTGCAACTTTTGGAATTTTGGGACTTTTGCTTCGCTATTTAAAAAGATATTAAAGCAAATCCCAGAACTCTTCATTTAAGGCGTCATTTTACAACTTTGAGACTATGAAAAGGGCCTTTCAGTCTATTTATTTTTGATGTTCTACAGTAGAATCCACTAGCCGAAGTTTCCACATTGTAGTTGCTCAAAGTCGAAGACAAAGTTTCCGCTCCTCATGAACAAGTAGCATATGCAATATTTGTCCCGTCATAAAACTTTAATAAACGTGCGAATAACGGCCAATATTCGCTTTTATGGCACAATAAAGTTCAAGATGCTGTCAAGTGTTCGGCTAAGCTTAGAAATAAACATTTTACTATGGGCTTTGTGGAATTACTAGAGCAGATTTGATCAGGAGTGCAAAGCTTTTATAGGCACTCGAGCTAATATTACTAGTCCATGATTGTCTCCTGTTTTACTGTTCTCAGCTTACAATTTAAATGTTATTTTGAGCCATCGCCTCCCAAGTTTGCCACGTTCTTATTTTCAAGCAGACTATAATGTACGACCGCTTAATAATCAAATGACATCGACTTAGTTAGCTCCCGGATGGAAAATTGGAAAATATGCCTCAGTCAGCATTTTAATCAAATCCTTTGTGCAAAACTGCACGAGACAGGCCCAAATTCAATTCCGGAAAATGTAGAAGCATTACAAAGTAAATAGAAAGGAAAGTTTAAATTTAAATGCATGGAAATGGGTGAGTTTTATGCACGTGAATACATTTGCTTGGTATATTCCAGGATAATTTTTCAAATTATTGGTTCTATGGATGTGTCCATTGGGATCTGAAAAAGTAGTGCCAAAAGGCTAGTTTCTGGTATATTATTGGTTATTTCGCAAGGAAAAGTACCGCAACGAGTGCACTCGACTCAGCTGAAAACCTCAAACTTCGCCAGTTTATATCGGAATGAGTGAGAATTAAATTCTGCTTTTTAGAAGCTTTTGCTTTTTAATTTGATTCAAACACCCTTCACTATCTGTTTTTCCTTCCCGGCAAATAAGAAACTTTCCCTCTAATTCTGTTAAAAAGCAGTTAATTGAATAACTGCTGAAATAAACACCAACTCCAATATTATGATGGTGGCATAACAAATAAACCCCCGATATTTACAGTTAGACTCTCTCTGGATTCCATTGAAAATTAATTGTGTAGTAAAAGTTTGTGGTTTTTATTTTATTAGCTCTTTGTGCGTGAGAAAGTTTTAATGAGTATCGAGAAGCCGTAAAAACGAAAGCCAGAACGCGGTTTAAAAGCTGCATTTGATAAACGAGTCAACTTTGGCGAAGTTGAAAGTTTCGTCCAGTTTAATTGGTTGTAAATTGGGAAATTTCAGCAACGAAAATATAAACAGCAAAAAATTAAACCGCAAGGAAAACATGATACGGTTCTGGATTGTTTGCAGCGCAAATGGCAATATTTTTATTGAAAATATACGGTTTGGTTGATGTTTACCGATCGAAATCGATTCAATAATGTTGCTGAGCGAAAATCCTGTTGGTGCATGTAAATCGCATAAACAGCCCAAAATAACTGAGAACAGTGCACTGGAACAAGTAGTAATTTAACTTTCAGCTAAACTGACAAAAACATAAATAAGCCAAACGCTATTTTTAACGCGTTATTAATGTTGTACATGTGAACCTTGACATCGAAACTCAAAATCGATTTATATACGCCAATAGTTCCAAATTGAATTGCGATGAAACTCGATACCAACATTACTAAATTATTATTTAAATATTTATTTCTATTAAATTATTTCTAAAATTTTGGACGATTTCTACAAACACAGCATTCGCGGTCATTGCTTGAAACTTTTTCGGAAAATCAGTTTCCCAATGGGGATGATTTTAAACATTTCATAGAATCCTTCTGTAGCAATAGAAATTTCAAAAGTTCTCATTCGAATGGATGCGTTACATAAAATACAGACTTTGAGGTGCGGATGGATCTTATTTTCTCAAACAAACCATTACAAAGTATAAATGCTATCTTCTCTATCATCTAAAAATAAAATAAAAATATCTGCATTTCCTCTTTTGCTATAAACGAACATGTTCATTGCAAACTTTCCAGTGAACATCTGAAGATGTAAGTTGCCTGCTTTTGCAAAACGAAATATTTGTTTCTTCAAAAAACTCTTCAGATTTGTTGTCCTTAAATGGTCTTTGCCAAAGCTCTTCTCTCCAAACTAACCCAAACTAACTTATTTATAAAAATACGCTCATTAGCAATTCTCACCTGACTTTCGGGTCTATGGATTAATGTCTTCTACAACAACAAGTCATAAAATGTTGCAATGTCCACCGGGGCAAAAGTTAAGCAAACTTTTCCAGCCAAGAAAATATTTATGGGTCGGAAAGTATGGATAAGGTAGGCGTGAAATATGGACCGCTATCTTGGCTGATGTGGAAAAGTTCGTTGTGAAAAATGGCGGTTTGAGCCTTCAGACGATTAACAGCTTAATTAATTCATTTAATAGCTTGATAATTATATTTAAGGACGTTTTGTTTGGAATTACCGATACTAATAAATTTCAAATGCGGTAAACATCATAAGCTCACCTCGTGTGAGTTGAGCTTTTAATATCGGAATTATTTTTTATTTTTATGAGGCAAGTTGAATCAATTTTAATATGAATGAAGCAGAAAACGCTTTTTAAATTCGTCCACAAAATGCATAATTTTTTGAAATTGAATTTAAATAACTTGAATGTGAAGAAGCAGGAAATGCGAAAGAAAACACTCGAAACCCTGTAGTTTTATTTTTCGTCTTATTTCAATAGTTATTCAGTGTGCCAAACATGTTCGCTTATAGCAAAAGAGGAAATGCAGATATTTTTATTTTATTTTTGTCTGATAAAGGGCACACTGAAGTATTAATACTTTCTAATGGTTTGTTTGGGAAAATAAGATCCACCCGAAACTCAAAGTGTGGATTTTATTTAACCATTCGAATCAAAACTTTTGAAATAAATGTAACAATTTAATGTATTTTTAGTACACTTAATATGTTTTATAATAATATTTTTACCACAGAAAAACTATAAATTCGTTTTGTTCTAAAAGTTCTATCAAATTAGCTTTGACAAAACCTATTATTTCTATTGCTTTCAGAATTTTAATATTTATGACTCCGTTCCTATTCAAATTTGATTTAATTCATCAAATTATTTATTTTAATTTGTTAGTGTCTACTGTCGAAATATTTTATTAATTTTTTTTTTTATCGAAATGTGAATGAAGCTTTTAAATTTTTCTCACTAAAAGCATTTTAGGTGAGAAACCTATGTATCTTTTAAGGGTAAAACTAAGTCAAATATTTTTTTCTAAATATTAAAATTGTCATGCTTGGCTTCCAGATGCTCGATTTTTAACCATGTTCTTTCAAGAGAATGTGACCAATCTAATGTTTTTTTTAAGTAGCGGTAACTAATCATTTGTGGTTGTGAGTTATCTCAGATTATTTAGATTTTCTCAGTTTATCAAACGAAATTTCTAGGTTTTAGTCCAAACTAAAAAAATCCAATTGCCTTTCCCGGTTTAGAGTTTCTTCGATAAAATATAGCCCAAGAAATTAAATTTCCAGCACTAAAGCTCACATATGGAGTTTTATTCGACACGTTTGTATTTAACGAAGATTTTTACTCGTCCAACTTTCACAGTTTTTTTGTACGTGACCCTTTAACATGAAAGTAATTCCATCAAAGAATTTAATTTTTGGCAAAGTGGGCAATTTATTTTGTTCATTTTGCTTTTGCCACTTTGGTAGCCTGGGATTTTTATAAACTTTTGAAAGAAACAATGGGGCGAAAAAACCCACAAAATGAGAATTGGAGGTGAAAAGAATGCAGTAATTTTAACCCCTGATGAAATATTCGAACACTTCCGAAACTATTTAAAAACATGAAGTTGAAAATTTTACGAATAGAAAGCCAGAGGCTGAAAGTATGTAGACACTCAGGCCTACATGCATAGGTGGCGTCTGAATATTGTAACTGGCACGTTTTCAGAAACAATTTTATTTTTCAAGTGTACATGGACATACTTTAAAGGAAAACACATTTTCATTAACCGCTTTAAAAAAACTGTCGAAATAAACGCTCACAGCGCATCGTGTGTGTCAAATTGCCTCAATTATTGCATTATTCATTTTTCCAAATCATCGATAGTTTCATATCTACTTAAAATGTTTAAAAAGTACCTAAAACCTCTCAACCCTTATTAGAAGCTTTATAAAACAAAATCCCTCTTTTCGAGGTGCAAATTATTGAGCTGCGGTTTTCAGTATTTTCTCAAAAACTATTTGAAGTACCTCTGAAATTAATAAGCAAACTTTTATCAGAAAATCATGCTTGGGAAATTTTCCGTTGCACTAATGAGCCACTTTGGATTCTCAAACTTGCAGCCAAACTGCCTTAGTTTGTGCAAACTTTCTCTGAAACTGGAATATCAAATATTGAATAAACGCAAACGGGCTTCATGTGAAAAATCTCAGTTTTGTTTAATAAAGTTGGCAATTTATGATGGCATACGGCTCAATACCTGCTTTCTTGACAAAATATCGGCTCATGTGCTGTCCTGGTGCTGGATAAAATTGACAGAAATGTGGGTGGCTCTCATAAGAAAATGTTATATTTTAAATGAAATTTCCTGTCAGTCACGTGGGAAGAACGAATTGAATTTGTCGTAGAAAATGTGTTTTTCGCAGCGGAACGCAAATTTAATGTGTTGCATAGAAGATTGCCTAATATTTACCTACATACAATGTTTTAAACACACAAAAAAATAATTTCAAAAATCACAATGGACTGTTGCATTTATATTCCTACATGCTGTTTATTCTGATTTTCAGATAGCAACTTTGTGCTGGGAAACGCCCAAGTGCCCACCCTCTACCCCATTGTTTATTGTTCGGACGGTTTTTGCGAGCTGACTGGATTCACAAGGGCGCAAATTATGCAGAAGGCTTGTGCGTGCAAGTTTCTCTTCGGGCCAGAGACAAAAGAGGAACACAAAACGCAAATTGATAAAGCGTTGGAATCCAAGAACGAACTCAAGCTGGAAGTAATATTTTATAAGAAGAATGGTAAGTTAAAAGGGATTAATGTTGGCGGATTTATGGGTTTGGTGAGGGTTTATGCCAAAACCTCATTTGGGGCATCGAAAAATTATTGAAGAGCTCAAGGGTTTGTCAGGATTTTAACTGTTCATGTTGCAAATAAGCAGCTTTCGGGTTTAAAAGTGATTTTTCTATGATGCTTCCAAACAGGTCCTTTTAAAAACTGAAAAAAGTCCAGAATTGCTCCTCCAACGCTTTCTATATGAAAAAATACACACAGTGTGTTTAAAAAAAAGAGGTTTGCGAACATTCGTGTCCAAGCAAATCTATTGAAAAATAGTAATAGCGAATATGCTACAGATTTATGCTTTTGAGAACGGAAAACTGAATGTGTCGGAACAGGAAAACAGCCCCAAAGCAAATAACAAGCACCAGAACAAGGCATGAAAAAATATTTGGAAGATTTTGCTCGAAGTCTTCTTTTATTTCGGCCAACTTTTAAAGGAACTTCGAATCAAATTATAGTAATTCTCTATCGTTTCATCAACTTTTACCAGCAGAAAACTTCATTTGGACATTGAGGTGCCACACAAAGCCCAAAAAAGTGATAAAAACTGACGTTGTGAAATACGGTTATACAGTGGAGTTGAGTAATAAATGTTTTTAATAAAATGCAAAGTCCAGATCATTGCTTTGGGAACTAAATTGAAAAATCCCAGATATGTTTTTCTCAACTGAAGTATAGCTGATTTTAAAGGTTTTTTATTGCTGTTCACTACCACAACCGAAAATGGCAAATGCACATTTTAAAGTCAACTCGTGTGCTCCTAATCCGTCGATTTTATTAGAAATAGCAGGCAAATGTGTGTGTGTAATGGAAGATAACTTTCCGGAAAGAGACTTTCCGGCTTTGATAATAAAGTTGTCGTGCTTCAACTTTGTTCCTAAATTCCGCTTTAAGATTCCTTTCCTGGACTGAAATAACGATAATTGAAAGGAAGCCAATGGCCGTAAAACTCCATTGATTACTATTGTTCAGCTAAATAATGACTAGAGAGGAATACATTTGATAAAATCGGGGATCGTTAAGGTTAAACAAAGCTCGAACAGTAAAGCTCCTGTTTGCACTAGAACGTATTTCAATGCGATTGGTTCACCTTCATAATGATTACATTGAAATGTTCGTGCTATTTAGACTCGATTCGGTGTATACATGGAAAATGGGAAATTTTTCGCTAGATCACATTGAGCTGGCGCGCATTGATAGACACGTGTGGGGCGTTCTATTATAGTTATCTAGCTTCTATCGCTCTATTTCCATAAAAAGTATCACCCCTGAGGTTTCCTAGCAGTTCAACCGTAATATAATGCAGCCTCACGTCGGTAAATATTTCAAATCAGTGAACGCGTTTCTGGGAAACTTTCACTACCTCAGATATTCCCTTGGAGGCGAAATTTGTTTAACTTAAACCGTTTAGAAGCTTACGCTCATAATCAACAATATATAAGTGTAATATAAAGCAAAACGAATCGACATAATCATAGTTAATTGTAGATCAGAAAATCATATTTCTTCCTTAAAACGTATTTAAAGCTATTGTGCTATTCTCGGTTCCATACGTGAGCTGATGGCGCAATAATTGACTAATCAATGAGGACTAATATCAAACGCATGGCTAATCCTCCATCTGCTACAAAGGCTGGGGGTTTATCTATTTTTCGATCGGATAACCCAGTAAAGTCCGGTAGGTCCCGTTTCTTGTCAGCTTATATTTAACACGGATCAACAGGTTGCAATTTGAGATTTTTTCATTAAAGCCTTTTAAAACCCCCGCGTGTATTTTGGATTTATTTTCGACTGGAAGGCTTCAGAATTTTATCATGGAAAAGCGCTATTATTGAAGACTAATTGCAAAGCTAAACGCAACTTTATGCAACACTTTTTTATTAGTTTTGTATTCAAGTTTTTTTTTTAATTATATTGGTAAATGGAGTTGATTAAGTTATTCATTAATGGGGCAGTTACATGAATCTGGTTTTGTTTAATTTAGTTTATATTTCAGTTTCTGAAAATATTTATGGATTTTTTTCTAATTGCTCTAGACTGGTTACAGTTCAACCAACCCACGAAATAATGTTGCCATATACATTTCATGTGACCTTTTGAAAAACTTAACGTATTTACTGAACATAAAAATGCCCTGATTAAACTGGGGAAGCTGTTAAAATAGCACTCCTTTTATCCAAAGTGTCGGTTAAAGCTTGTTTGCTTGCTCATTATATTTTTTTCTTTAATAATTTAGCTTGCAAATATAAACACTTTTGAGTCACCGGGTGATTTTAAGTGAGTTCATTCTACCCTGGTTAATTGCCGTGTAAAAATTGAGTTAAAAATGAAAAAAACTAACAAATACTCATAAATCTGTCTGGAGGGTTCAAGTATTTTATAACATTTTCCAGATTTTATAGCAGAAAACTGATTTTTTTTTATTGCGCTGTTTAATTAAGATACTGCAGAGCAAATGCAGAATACAATTTCAGCACAAAGACGTAAACCACATTTCGATATCTTCGCTAGAGCGACCAAGAAAATCCTTAATTGAAGCTATTTTTTTCTTAAGTCCGTTCTTAAGAAACCTCAAAAAATAACTATGGTTTTAAAGGTTTTTCCAGTTGAAAAACGCATTTGCAATTAAAAGCTAATAATAATCTAGATGAAATATTTCTAGCGAATATGGAACGAACGAAACACATTGACAATATCAAAAACGAAAAATCGCTTCTATTTGCTTAAATATTAAAATAAATATAATAATAAACTTTCAATTTTGTCCATTTAGGCCCGGTTATACAGTGATTTGTGTCTAAATGCAATAATTTATTATTTTTTCTTACAAATCAAGGCAATCAAATACGTTTTCTGCAACTTGTGCACTATAGGAATATTTTAAAGCATAGCCGTACTTATTGCATTAGGCAAAAAAGTATGTAGGAATAAAATTATTAATAATAAATAAAAAAACAGGGTCAAAATAAGCTAAACCCCAATGCGCTTTTTTGTCTGTTCTTATCACACTATTTGAGGTATTTTTGTTGAATTTTGATAGAAATACTTTTAAAAGCCGTGATTTCGATTCAGATTTTTCATTTGAAAATTTCGAATCAAACACACGTAAATAGTGCTAAATCAACAATTAAAGATTCATTAGTAAGTATCGCACTTCTCAAAGCAAATCCACTATAAAAACGAGGCTTGTTCTGCTTGTATTTTTTATACGAAACATGAGTGAGTCAAGAATACGTGCATTTTTGATAGATTTATGGCACCATAATGGTCAAGCATAGGAAATTTTTGTTGGATTACATTTTTGTTTATAGTTTACATGTTTATATATAGTTGTATGTTTATTAGTTTATTATTTAATATTTCTATACATTTCAACTCAACTAATCCCTTCTTCAAAATACATTTTTTCGCATTTTTATGTACCCCTAACTTCTATGAAGTCAAGAACAAAATATTAGCGCTTGTAAGTTCCAAAGTCCCATCGAAATGCTTCAAGAAACTTCCTGATAACCTAATTAGCTTTAAAAAACGGCCCTAAAAAATTGTTGTGCTTCATAAAGAAAAATGTCTTTTCATATTTCGCTTGACATTTTCAATGTTTTCCTTGAAGTGATAAACCGAGGCATTAAATGGACATTAGATTCCCTGGCTTATTGCTACTCCCTGGCTCAATATAATCTGCCGAGCGACCACTAAGTGATTGGGCGTCATGTGCTTAAGAACCCCCGGCCTTTTCATTTAATTATTTCCACTAATTTAACCAAATCGTATTCAATATAACTCCTATTCAACCTAATATGTTTTTATCGTTGATACAGTGGAAGTGATGTTTACTCTGAAAGCAAAATGAGCCACTGGATCGATTTTTGCGCGACAGCTAAACGAAACGACCTGCTAATAAAACGTGCCCTAATTAGAGCATTTCTCGCGTCTTTGGAAACCTTAAATCGCACTTTAGAGCAGTTTCTTACAGCGTCTCTGCTTTAGAGCCAAGTCATTGATATTCAATATAGACGGCGAAAGGAGTCCAGACTTTGCCACTTTACTACTAGTCTGAAGTGAACCGAAAAAAGCTAATTAACTTATTAGAAATGAACTCTCAACGCGCAAAAACAAGAGAATATTTAAGCAAAAGTCATACAGAAAAGGTTTGACGGAAATCTGCTTTGAAACTGGATTTTGTGTTAAAAGCAGAACATCTTTATTTTATATATTAAAACAGTCTGCTGTAGAAGTTCTGTAGAAGTGTCTGCTGTAGAAAACTGACCAAAAAGTTAAAATTTGTTAATATTGCCAACTCCTACTAAGAATTCAACAACCATTCAATTTAGAGTGTGATTGATAACAGAAATACGTTACACGACAAAAACGTGTAGTTTATAGTTCAGTTCATATAAGCAGCCCCCCATGGAAAACACTTAGTTGATATATAAAATCGACTTAATTTCACAAAAACCAAACTCCTTCGTGATTCCTCAGAATAATACAAAACTTATAAAAATGGAAATAAAGAAGAGAATGGCGTTTAGTACAAAAGGAAATTTGTCAGAAATAAATACGTATTAAAATAGTTGTTATTTGAAATCAGCGAAGCAAAGAGAAAAAAATGGAAAATCCATGAAACTTTGAAGTCTTTTCTCTTCGCAAAACTCATCAGTTCAAGCTAAGAGAATTATAGATTAAATTCTTACCAGCTTTCAACAAGCTGGCGCCTCATGCTTCATTAACTAATGTACAACCATTAACAATGTAAAACTACTTTCTACTACTTTCTACTTTAGTTTCAAACTAAAACTTGCAAGGTTTGGAAAGTTTTGTTGGAAATACAGTACACTTTGACAAAACTCCAACATTCAATAGGTTCAAATGTATTTGTTCTGCCGAGCTCTTGCGGCACAACACTGGTAAAGAAAGAATGAACTGAAAATTTCAAACTTTGGAAGGTTTTCTGATATTGAAACCAGTTGTTATAGAGAAGGAATAAAATCTTTCATTTTTTTCAGGTACTCCCTTTTGGTGCTTGCTCGATATTGTGCCAATAAAAAATGAGAAACGTGAAGTTGTCCTGTTTTTGGCGTCGCACAAGGACATCACCAATACGAAAATGGCAGAAATGGCCGAGTGCGAGCTCTACGATAGTGGTAAGTCGCTGTTTGATTCCCAAAGAACCATCATTTGAGAAAATATGCAACCCACACTGTTTAAAGGCATGATTTTGGTTTCATTTTCCTAGAACAAGCGCTTGGATAAATAACGGTACATATTGTCAGCAGTGGCATTCAAAATCATCCTTGACACAGTTTGCGTTTTATCAAAATAAAGCCGAATTAAATCCTACGCTGTTGATGCAGATTTTAAAATTTGTTTGCGTGTCGCAGTTATTGCGAGATTTAAATAAATATTGTTTCTATTTTTTGATCGAAACCTCATTTGTAGTTATGACGAAAGTAGTTTTTTGGTATTTTTCTGGGTCTTTCAGTCCACAAAGGCACTCTAAGGTAATTCTCTTTGACTGTTTTAATTCAGTTGAAATATTCTGTATTTTACCTAATTGTGTCAATTAAAGTCGCAAATTCTTCAGACCAGAAATATTTACGAGGACTTGAGATCTTGCCTGAAATTCGCTTTATGCAAAACAATCAAAAGAAGAGATTCTCTCGCTGGAAACACAATTATTTACCTTTTCTGTTGAAAAAGATTCATAGGAGTTGAGCGTTATGGAAACGTCCAATGTTTCCATTTATAATTCTGTTAATTAACGATTTAGTATGATCGGTTGGAAACCTCCCAAAGAACTGAACGATTTTCCAATAATGGAGACCAGCGGTGGAACTTTTTTTTGTAATTTTTTTGAAGAATTACTGCGGAGTTCTCTGCCTCAATAATATTAATTCCATGCTGGAATAGGCCCATTCCGAAATTTTCACATTTAGCCAACTCTGCACGTGCAGCGAGGCAATTTGCATGCTTTACATGGATTGAAACGTTCGAATCTCAATGTAAAGAATGCGTGGGAAAAGGAAATGCTATATGAACACTCAGTGGGAAATCTACGAGAATTGAGTGCAGGCAACTTTTATATTCCAGTATTTAATATGCGCATGTTGACTCAATAATGGAGGATAATTGATTGCGATTTCGTGCAGAGAATCCTGCTGTTTCTCTTGGAGCAGCGGCGGTTCCCCAATAAGTGCGTGCAGTTCCAAATCTAGTCGTTTTAAAAGAACCTGTTTAAATTGTAGCATTCTTGAGCACAGTCCAGTTCCTTTGGAGATCCATCGGGCTTCCGCGACTCTCGCTTGACGTTCACGCACATTTAGTCGGTGCACTTGTTGCGAAGAATAATTCTAGCAATATTTAAAAACACCTCAGTTTTTTATCGGCTTTAGAAGAAAAAAATAATATGAAAAGTGCTGTCATGTAGCTCGTAGCCCAATTCATCATTTACGCCTGTAAGTTGGAAGTTGGAAGCTGAGGCTTGAGCATGGACAAAATCTGGTGTTAAAAATGTACTCCTTAGTCTCTATATTAAAACAGACGAGCATTTATAAGGTGCACGTAAAAATACCGTACTTCCAAACAATTTCATACGTGAAGCATGCAAAGTGCAGGTGCACGTTTAAGGTTATTTCACGAATTTGATTTTGTTTTTTGACAAAATACCTATATTTTCCAAAATTTTTAAATTGTTAACGACCCAAGATGTGCTCTTTCAAAATATTTCTTTCATCATTTTCACTTGAATTTTGAGTAAAATGGTAGAACTTGGGGTATAAGTTGCGTCCCAAGAAGATTTAAAATTTGCAAACTAAAAAAATTGTCCTTGATTTATTTAAAGCTTCCACAGCGTCTCCTGAAGGTAAAAAAGCTCAAGTTTGGAACAGAAAATAGAAGTGTTTGTGGCCGATAAAATAGGCTCTAAACTGCTCAACAAAATAAAGGTTACACCGCCAAATTTGCTCTAATTTTGCAAATAGGTAAATTCTGATTGCTTCAAGCGATTTGGATTCTGTTGGGCAAAAATTAAGTATTTCAGATAAAGTTTCTACAGGGTGTAAATTGAACAATACGAAATTTTTCCTTAAGTTGACTACGAAGTTTCGGCTTCAATATTAGGTCTAACTAGGAGAAAAAATGTTATCTCCGCATCCCAAAAAGTGGTTTTTGATCACACAGTAAACAAATTAAAGAGAATAGAACATATAAAAACCCAGAGCCAGCAGGATAATTTTCCATTACTCAAGCACTTTTCAGGTCATTCACTAGTATGCAAATTGTTAAAATATTTCCATTCCCCAATTCAACTATAGTTTAAGAACATATCCACACTGCCTTATAGTTTTCCGTTACTCTTTGCTATCTGCAGCGGCTGTGCTGGGCGCACGATTTCGGGGCTCCGCTGACTCTTGCCTGCTTGCAGAAAGGGCTAATGGAAACCTGGATGATCCAGAGGCCCCTCCCGCCAACTATGGAAGAAGACGGTCCAGAGCTGTTCTCTATCAGCTCAGTGGCCACTATAAGCCAGACAAAATGAAGACGAAATTGAAACTAAACAATGTGAGTATATTAGTATTTTAACTTTGTGAAAATTTATGTGAATCGTCAGTTCAGTGATTTTCTGTTTGAATTTGGATTTCAAAAAAATCTTCTCCAATCCGTGATTATGGCTGAATAAATTTCTGAATTGAACGAGAGTATTGTCGATTTCCAATACTTAAACCTAGTAAAGCACAACTTGAAGGCAATATTGAAATTCAGCTGCACCAAGCAACATTTTTCCTTAGAAAAGAGCATTCGAATTTATTCGAATTTATTTCTGTTTCAATGAGGCGGCATTGAAAAGTAATGAAATGTACGGGAGAAACAGCAGCGCCTGTATTTAAGCACTAAATGAAAACAGCTTCATAATTATCAAAAGATCGCCTCTTGTTTTAATTCGATTGCCCTGCTCGTACTATTGAAAAGTAAATTCACCACTAGCTTTGAACCTGAAGAATGACGAAAATTATGCAGTAAAAATGTCCTGTTTTTCCGCGAACGTTTTTTTTTATTAAACAGGGTGCCCGGAAATTGTTGCTTTACAATGATGTTAAAGCGTATCAAAGGTCTGAAAATAACGATGGTATTTCATGGAGATTTTTTGATGCAATTGTGGGCCTTTAAAGTGGCAAGCGCCAAGTTTAGGAATGGAAGACTGCAAATTGTGGTTGTTAACCGAAAATGATCTGCGAAATTCTACCAGGAGAAGATAATCAGTCGAAAGCGTACCAAACTTTCTGAACTTGGTACATGTTGAGCAATTGCTCCTTAGGAATTTCATTATATGCACAGTTTTCTTCATTTATTGAGTCAAATATTTCATCTGCACCTTCAGCAGCTCGAGCTTTGCCTGGTCGTCCTTCATCTGCTGAGTAAAATTATCTATTTAAGTGTACAATTAATTGCAATACTTATTCTGGATAAATCATACTCTCTGGAATCGGTCAGTTTTAAAAATGTTCTTAAATTAATATGCATGTTTAATTATTTTGCAGCAGATAATGCTTCCATACTTACGTGGATGTGAAAATATAGACAATTTTCAAACTTGCCACTTCGCCAGATCGAAAATAAAAATCATAGAAATTTTTTAGAGTCTAAATTCTCATTAAGGAAAAAAACTCAGTTGTTGGTATGAATTAATTTTATTAGCTTTTGGCTGCTGTTTAAGTCTTCTGCCTTGATACGAAATTCCAAACTATAAAGGAAGAGGGAGGCAATCGAGTCTGTTACTTTAGAATGCAAATTTGAATTAATGGCGTTAAAACTAGCAAAGTGTAAATTTTCGTTTTTTAAGCCCTCACAGGGGATTAATCAAAAATCCGCTTTAATCGTAAGTAAGGGGGCGGAAACGTGGATGATAAATTGTTACGCTTTCGCCAATTAATTTGCTCTCAAGTTGCAAACCAAAATTTAAGTTTGTATTTCGCCGCTTAATTAAAAGTGAAATTAAATCGTCCGCAAGTATCAAATATACTTAAATATGCCCCCACTTTCATAGAGATTATCAATAGCGTATAAAATACTCTCAGGATGGGGTGAAAGGAAATTTACATTTGCCAGCTGACCCGATCAGTCTTAGAGGAAAATGTTCTTACTCGCTTAATGCGAAAACTTTTTTAATCGCCGGATGCCTGGAAATGCTCTACATGGCAGGTAGAGATTTCAAGTGGTTTTTATTACTTTTTGAATGGTAAAGTTGGATCTAGCGCTATCGATTTCCAGCAAATGCGCGCTTCAGTAGATCTTGTTTGCTCGCACATTATATTAAAGTAAAATTTTATAATTGTCCGAAACTAAGTCAACTTTAGCTCAGCCCCAACTTCTACCTTTGGAGAGTCGTCTGCTTTATGAAGTCTGGCACAATTCCCCGTGTTGGACCGAACGACATGCAAAGAGGAACAAACAAAAATTACATTTAATCCGTCCCCCTTCCCAATTGTTCATTATTTCAGACACACATTCGGGATTACATCTGTTTAGACGGCTCACCGATGAATTATTTAGCCAAAGCTGATCAAACAAGACGGGCAAAAGTGAAAACGAATTTCTCATTTTTGCCCGGTTCTAATAAATCGCGTTTCGGCTGGAACATCAAATGGATACAGACCTAAAAGCACCTGTGGAATGGGATATTGAGCTGAGATTTACGTTTCGTGACTTGAAAGTTTTGGGGATTTTTTGTGGGCTGAAGACGCCGCTTTTGATTGTTTGGATTGCTAAAAATGTCACATTGCTTTTTTAGGAAATCAAATTTCCAAAGGGTCCATTGGGCAATATGCCTTAACTCTTGTCTTTATGCGAATTGATGTCGTTAAGCATATTTAGTTGCATTTCAACTGACATTAATTTATTTCGGAAATTCGCTTCCGATTAAGTTCAATGGATCCTTGTGAGAAGTTTCGTGTTTACGAACTTTTTACTCCAATTTCCAAATTCCGACTTGAAGAACGATATTGCGGCCTTAACTACGGCGTAAGAGTTGAAACTTCCTGGAAAATGGATGCTATTTATTCGGTGAAAATTGCGGCCAAATCCTTCAACACAACAAATATCCCCTAAAGCTCCGACAGGTACATTTAGTCATTTATTGCGAGGTTTCGAGTGCAGGCTGAGTTTTTTCATTTTAAACTTTGAAATGGACATTCCGACTTCGAATTCGCAGTTAATGCTTGAAATTTAGGAAATAGTTTTATACATTTTCAAGGAACACCCCACCAATAAACAAGCTTTCGAAAAGATGTAAGTATTTGAGCTCAAAGGTTCACTAGATGTGGAATTTTCGGGCAAAGTTTCTTTTAACGAACTTGGCATCAATGATGATATTTTGCAGATCGTTAATAGAAAGCCTTCGGAAAATTATAAGTGTTTGACCACTTGGCATCCAACTTTCTAGTTTTCTTATTTTATCGAACTTTTCTTTTAATTTTCAAACGTCTGCCTAAAGGATGATATGCCGGCCTTAAATGCAAAACTACTACATCAAACTTGAAACTTTCAGGAAAATCTCAGCAAAATTTACGGCCAGAATCTTCCCGAATATCCTCTAGAACTTCGACAAATACACGCCATTTAAAACTGCAATTTTTCATTTAAAACTTTAGACACGAATTGTAATTTTGAATCCGAATGAGTTGATATTTTAAACTTGAGGATTCGATGTTCTACTGCAAAAAAACAAAAAATCGTTTTAAATAGCAAATCTCTAAAAAATTTAAATTTTAGTGCTAAAGTTTTAGAACGTAAAAATTGGTACCTAAACTGTCAACGAATATATTCTAGAGCATCGACAGCAAATTTAGAAATTCCATGCAAAATCCGGAACTTAAAAGAAAATTTTTAAGTTTAAACTTTAAAGTGGAGATTTTTACTTCGGTAATTAACGCTTTGAACTTGAAGTGAAATTATAAAATTCACTCAAGGAAGAACCGATAAGAACGTTTTCGAAAAAATGAAATTATTTAGACTCACTGTGTTCACTTTGAGGTTCAAATACCTATATCGCGATTTAGCTAGTTTTCTTTCATGAACTTTTTACCCTAATCTCGAAAATTCGTCCTCAAGAATGATATCGACTATAAATGTAAAACTAAGCTATAAAACTTGAAAATTCCAGGAAAATTTTATCAAAATTTGCTACCAAAACTTTCACGATATCCTTTAGAACTTCGACAGATACACGTAGTCGTGTAATGCAAAATTCGCAGTTTAAACTGCAAGTTTTCATTCCAAACTTTGAAGAGGACATTTCACCTTTGAAGTCGGAGTTAATATTTTACACTTGAGATGTTTGGATGAGAACAAGTTTAAGTCGAAAACAAACTCATAAGAACGCTTTGTAAAGTCTCGGCTAAATTGTTTGCTTTGAGCTTCAAATTCCGTTAACGCGTTTTTGCAATTTAAAACACCTCGACGCACCTGCACATGTAGGAAACATTGCAATTTTATAAGGAAAGTTTCGCGTTAAGTTGAAAAATTTCAAACGAAAACTGTTTACCTAAAATTCGAGCTTTTTCACCTGATATGCGACATTGAGCGTCTGATACTTGAAATTCCAAATTTCGCAACAAGTATTTAAAGAAGCTGGGTTGAAGTCACTATTTTCCCTACGAAAACAAAGTGAAAACCATATTCTTGACTCGTGAATAACACCGCTATTATCAAAGCTAATTCACAGAACTTTGGAATAAAAATTCCCGGAATCTTCTCCGCAAGTTGAACTGAGAATAAAAATGCTTCCTTAACTTTAATTCCGGCGATATTTTCCAGGGACTACATTTCGTAATTTTGCATATTTCCGTCTGTTTTACTGATTACCGTAGTCTGGATCCAGGCTATGAAGAGTTTGTCACTATCAATTTTAGCTCATAAAGCGTCAGATTTCATTAGGCTTGCTTTACATGTTGCCACTTTATCCTCAGGTTAAAACTGCGGATATTTTGCAATAATCAATTTATTTCAGTTATCTACCGTAAAATTGTGAAGGAAAACAGATCGGGTGCAAGTAAATGATGAATTGTTAAGGCCACTTCTCATCCGTAATGAGTTCGGGCATGTATTACTGGCATAATTCATCATCGCTTGCAACTATTGATCTATCAGCCTCAACTTCTGTTTATCCAGCTTCATTTCAATTTGCCGCTTTGTTGTTTTTCACCTCCTTTTTGTCCTCAGTTTCTGTCGAACTCATTTCGCCGATAGCAATCGATCTAATGCTTCGAAGTCTACGCAATGAGCATCTTGCCTCTAGATTGGCCGTTTCGAACGCTGCTAATTTTATTGGAAACTTCCCCCGATTCAATAACCGATAATTTAAAGTAAATTGCCGCAGATAATGGCAAATCTTGCCTTAATTAATTCATATTGCTATTAAAAGGGTCGATAATGTCAGACCGATGATGAACGGGGGCAATTAATAACAAACCTGGGTGCATTGTGCAGCTTGAGAAGAGAGTTCAGTCAGCTTCCATTAACAAAGCCCGCTTGTGGTTCATTCACTGAGTTATATGGAGAGGGATTTTACCAACCAGGGCTAATGGAAATCACTGAATTATATGCAATGCTAAAGTACAGGGAATAAGGACATTGTTGTATAATATTTTGAATAAAACTAGTGAGTGGGAAGTTTTTTTTTCTGACGAAAAGCCCAAAGTAGAAAACTCCTCAGTGTCCAGTAAATCTCCCCAATAAACAGATTCTTGCATTAAAATCATAATAAATCAGCTCTGAATAATAAAACAAAACGATTGCAATCAATACATTTGAGTTTTATCAAGCAGCCAAGCGCATTTGCAAGTCACTAAGAGATATGAACGCCCAAACAGGATTATTTGGGTTCATTTTCTAACAGCGCAAAAAATAAAAAAATCCTTTATCAGATTAGGCCTTCCCCTGGAAAGTGGATGAAAAGTTGCCAACAGAATTTATGCCAAAGGGGATTAGTGAATTGAAATGAGGCCATAGATTTTGCTAATGTTAAATGCAATGGAACGAGTAAATATTGTTGTAAACTTCTGTTTTTTTTTCTTTCAGAACTTGTTGAGTTCAACCCCTCAGCCCCTGCCGGAGTATAAAACGGCCGCCGTGAAGAAGAGTCGGTTTATCATTTCGCATTATGGAGTTTTCAAGAATGCTTGGGATTGGCTCATATTAATTGCCACATTTTACGTGGCAGTAGTGGTTCCATACAATGCGAGCTTTCTTCGGCCTGAAACCGAACGACCGTCAGTAATTATGGACGTTTTCGTTGAAGCCCTGTTTTTTATAGGTAAGCCTTTTCCATGGTTGATGGTAAATACACTTGTTTATGGAGCTTTAGAGTTTTATTTAGGATAAACCGCAAACAAACAGTGGAAACTTTCAGCAAACCACACAAAGGTTTCTAATCCTCCTGTAACAAACATGAATGACATGGGTTCCATAAATATCGAATTACGATCGAACATTTCGCGCCCGTATTCAGCAAAATATCGCATTTTCTCCAAAGCTTATGGTTGTTTGGCAGCGAATACATTTTTCACCTGGCAACTCGAACAAAGGTATTATATTTGGCAAATTGCTGCTGAAAATAGATAAAAGCATTCGTTCGGTCGTATTTTCGAGTGATTTATTTGCAAAGTCGATGGAAACGGTAGGTGAAGACATTTATCGCAAAAAATACCTCGCATTCAAATCGTATACAAATATTAATAGGGCGACAGGCAAGATTTATCGTGTATTTATTTTGCTTATTGATAGCAGGAGATCCGATACAAGACTTAATAAAGAAGGAACAGGGTAGCTACCGAATTTTTTTCGAGACGAAAAAAATTCCTAAATTATGTATTGTTTCTTGAGCAGTGGCACGAGGTCTGGACGCACTACAGCCTGCTAATCCAATGAACTGAAAATTCTGGTTTATCCAGAGCGGTTTTGGCTATTTATCCAAGGAACTTTTATAAGAAATATATACTTTTTGTGTGTGTTTACTGTCTTAAAAAAACACTCAAATGGATTCACTAATCTACCATTTTACTGCAAATAAACGATGAGTTGGAACCAGAAAACCTGCGTTAGACCATTTAAATCCGAAAATTGTAGGTCAGTTAAGCATCTACGCCTTCAACCGACAACATATTTCTTGCTGGAGACAAGCGGAAAATTGATTTTGGTGCGAAGAAACGTAATTTCTGGCTACCTTTGTAGCCTTTTTTTCAAAAAATCGGCGAATTTTTCCCAAAAAAATGCAACAGTCGCTATATCAATGTCGCCCTAAAAAAGAAAGAAATGAAACAAGAGCATTGAAACCCACTTTACAGGTTTCATATTTAAATTAATTTGAAAATTTTGGCAAATTTTTACCGTTTTTTGAGTGTTTACGAACTTTATTCGACGATAAATCTTATTGTCCACTTAAACACTTTATTTTAAAAATTCTTAGTAAAAAGCAATCCATTAAGCTCCTAAAACCCATTTTTAAATTTGACAAAATCGCATAGTAATAATTGGTTTATTTTATTCTCATAATAATAATAAGCAGTTTATTCTCATATGGAAATTTAAACAATCACAGAGTTATTTCACATTTATCAGAAATGTAGTATATTTATCATAAATTATTTTAGCATCACATATATATATTTTATATATATCACATATATATATATATATATTTTATATATATTTTATAAAGAGAATAGTAATGAACGAAAATAGACGCGAAAAATGAATAAAACAATTGGAATTTAAAAAATAACAGTTTTTAATTAAAAGAAAATGATTAAAGGACATATGAGCGTGTGCTCGTAGGTGTCCTGTTTTGAGATTAGGGGATTTGAATAAAATTAAATAAAAATACAGTTTTAAACAGTATACGTTCTACATAATTTAATTCCCTGTTTTAGAATAAGTTACTTAAGTTTGTCATTCTGTTTCAACGAGCCTGCAAAAAGCCTAACAAGAGATCCAGGTTTTGTTCAAAAGTCTCACTTGAGAATTTTTGATAAGGCATTAAACACTTTTGGAATAATATAAAATATAAATTTTATATGGTGCATACAAAGATCGATGCAGCAGAGAACAGTCTGTATGAAATTAATTTAAACTTGTATTTAAAGTGAATACTTAAAATGTAAGAAATATTTCCAATCGACTCCCTGGAACAGTTGAGTACCCAAACGCGCTTTTTAAGAAAGGAAAAGAAAACGCTAAGCAGCTAAATCTCGCTCAAAAAAACTGTGGTCGACAACAGTAAACAATGCAGATTTTAAACACAATCGGGAACAAGTTCTGGATGAAAGTGAAAAATCCCCCAAATAAACATAATTCCATTTTGAACTGTCAGTTGCCGGGCAACTCGAAGAGATCGTAATGGGTTTCCATTGTTTGGAGAGCTTTTCCGGGTAGAATTTGGAACTTCCACACGAACAATTAATTTATGAAACTTTTTGCATTCACAATTTAATGATAGGAGCGGGAAAAACTGCCATAAAACCCATCTGCCTGAATAATTCGCAATACAATCAGCGTGATATTCCACATTTCGAGAATCAACAGGCGAGTTGTTGCAGTTCCGCCTCTTGTGTTTACGGCTTTATTGATTTCCACTTCAGAGCCTCAAACATACTCGAGTGGTCAATTGGGAAAATTCAATTACGCTAGAGCTGGGTATTAATACTGATCAGCGATATTTTATTTTTGATAACTTGACTGCAACAGGGGGTCGGCTTAATTTTTGCCAGACGGTGCAGCTTTGGAGCAAACTTTGCGAAAAATCAATGCGGTTTTTCCTATTTTATTGGGCTTTAAAAGAATTTACTACTTATTTGAAGGCAAAAGTTTATTCGAACTTGAAACTGAAACTTTTAGTGTTCCAGAAACTTTGCAATTTTTACTCAGCAACTTGAGGAATATTAATTAATTACCGCCCCTAAAAACACATATTTTTAATTTGTTTGGCATTAACCAAACGCTTTCTTCGGCAACTAACGAATATGATTCAAACACCGATGAACAAAGAAAAATTTTGCATTTTGCAAACAGCAACTTTGCTCTCTCATTAGCATACACCCTCTAAGCAATCTTCCTAAAGAACCTTCAGATTTAGGCCCTCAAAACCAATGTTGGAATAACGAAGTGGAACGCTAATTGCTTAGCATCGAAAGATCCGATTGACTTGGCTGATTGCAAAGGGTGGAAGCAACCACTTGTTGCTTTGGCCTGTTGCCCCGAGCTAAAGGAATCAAAACTGATCATTATGGCTTGACTTTTGATCGGGAAGCATCCAACACAGAATAATAATTAAAAATAAAGCAGACTAAAGAAATAACCGGCAAAAAACCCAACTTTTTTATTTGCGTTGGGAATTGTTATCGTGAGCGGAAGGGATTCATCACAACATTGTTTTTCTAGGAGAAATGCGATCCCGGCAGCATTTCAAATCCTTGGATAAATCAACTGAATTTAAATCCGGAATTACCGACAGCTTAGAAAGCGGAGTAAACTTTGCTAAAGTGTTCGTTTAAGGTTTAGGGTCTAGACAAGTATAACTAAACGTTTCGCTTGCGGTCTTTTTCCTCTTAACGTTTCAAGGCAAACAGTTGAAGAAATGAAGCTTTTGAACTAAAAATGTTTCTGAGCTAATAATCAACTTGCAACTTTTCCTCCTATACCTTTGTACTGTGGCTTATTAATTTTAATCTTTCAGGAATGGTCTATTGCATGGGCCGAGCAAAATTACGCGCTTAAACACAAAACTGGATCTCATATCCAGGCCAATTAATACTATATTACTGGCCTGGGCCTAATGAGTCCCTTTCCAAGTTCATAAGAGAAAGCAACTATAGGGGAAGCCTTTCAGGAAGTCTTAATTAGGTTTCCCGGTATCTGGTTGAGAACATTCTTTGTCGGCATTTGTCCACCGGATTTGAACGTTGGGCTGGTCTGAACGAATATTCCAATAACCTTCTAGACAACTAAATATTCCATTTGCACCGAGCCGGAAAATTTTGCAATTTCACTTCCAGTTAAGGGCGTCTTTCCTTAATTTGCTGGCGAACAAGCTCACTTAGCTGTTAGTTGCCAGTTAGGAACGGACGTTTTGCCAGCGAGATTAAGGTAACCCCAACCGGAAATCGGATTATTGAGACCGAAGCCCGCAAAAGCATCGCACTATAAAATGAGAGCTGGAAACTGGCTTAAGTCAATTTAGGAGGGTTTTGGCAAAAAAACTCATCAAAACAGCAAGAGACTTTGATTAAAAAAATCCTTACATTTTCGCCCGTATATTGTCGTAAATAGTCAGAGCCTGATGGCTTCTAATACTGTTTCTGGCAGTTTCTTTCCGTAAGTTTCCGGCAACTTCAAAGCCAAAAGGCCGGCAGCAATTGCCAAGCCTCCAAACATCAGCATTGGCAAAGCCTTGAAGTAAACTCCCTAAAATGTGAAAGTTCGATGCACAAAGGGTCTACTAAACAGGGTCAACTGGAGGGAGTTGATCACCCTGTATGTTCGTTGGCTTACCAATAGCGGAACGAAGGGGGCCAGAAGAGCTCCAACTCTGGCTGTGGTTGACGCCATTCCCACTCCTCCGCTTCGTATAACAGTGGGCAGCATTTCAGCTGTGTGCACATAAACAACTCCAAAAGCTGCAGTTACTACCATTTTTCCCAGGAGAAATAGAGCTATCACTGCCCAGTTGCTGGCAACTGAAAAAGCCCTCTTTAGGAGAAGAGTGCGCGTATTTAAATCACAAACCTTTGGAAATAAAAATTGTGAGGGTGCAAGTGATGCCGCATAACAGCAGCGACAATACCAAAGATAGTTTCCTGCCCAATCTCTGGATGCAAATCCAAGCCAAACTGTATCCAGGAATCTCAACCAGACTAACCAGAGCAAAGTTGATGTATTTGTTCCCGCTCAAGGAGGTTGCATTTATGGATAGTCCATAATAAATGAAAGCGTTCACTGCCCTGCAACCTCATTCATCGAAACATTGCCAGCGTAGAACTTGAAGAACTTACCAAATAAAGTACATGATGGAAAATCGAATAATCAGGGTTCTGGAGCGCAGCATTTGCCTGATAATTGGCAACATTCTGTCTTTGGGATTGTAATCGGTTTCCTGGAAAATTTCACGCTGTTAATGAATCTTTGGAGTTTTCAGCAAAGTAATGACCTGATTTTCTTGCTCGTCTGGAAAGGCTTTTAGCAAGCCTTCAGATAGTTTCACTCGGTTAATTTTAGCCACTTTCATTATTACGAGTTTGGCTCTTTGGTTCCTGGAGTTCGCCATCAGCCACCTGACAGACTCTGGAATAATGCTGAAAAAACAGGTGATCTTTTAGGTGTTTAGAAGATGTGTTCAAGGCCTACCAGTAGTAACCGATGAAAACTATTGATGGGGCGGACACAATTAGTTGCAATTCTTTCCAGTCTCTGGAAATCCACGCAAATAAGGCTACTAGAGCCTCGCCAACAGCGTAAAAGTAATTCAGCACCATTCCAGTGATTTCCCTCTTACTCTTGCCAACCATTTCAACCCCTAAAAGTTTAAATGTGTATTTAACGATTAAGAAACCAAGAATCCCCACTCCAACGTTTGCTGTATGCAGAGAGTATGAAGGAATGTCTAAATAAATTTAAAATGCTGCAGACTGTTCTCTTGGAAAGGAGATCTCACTGTATATATGGTTTTTTACAGTTTTACTTATGGCTAAAGTTTTACCTAAAATAAAGGCCAATGGGTAAACTCCAGCAGTGCCCAGAGCATTGACAAACACGAGAACCACAAAAGTTATGTATTCGGGGGCGAAGACCTGAAGAACTCCAGATGCGGTCATAAGCAGAATGCAAAATATGAACACCAATTTTCGGCCCCATCTGCAAATCAAAGATTTGTGAATGAATGTAGATTTTGTACTCAGAGTAGAGTTTGCCAATAAAAAAAACGCAAAAATTTTCGGTTAGATCTGCAGCTGAAAGCTTTTGTAAGGCGTAGGTTTTTGAATGGAGATTTTGCGAAGAATAGGGTAGATTGAGCCTCACGAGGCATTTTAACTTCATTCGATGGATGCATTCAACTCACGTAGCTTGAGACTTAAGAATCGAGCCGCAGTTCAAATTTTATTAAGGCCAAGCCGTTTCAACTGCTCTGAATGTGCGATTTCTGGATGTTTCGCGCTGTGTGATTTCATTAACGGTTTCACCTGAAATTGAGGGCTTTTTGCCATTTACACTGGCGTAAATACATGTTTCCTCAACGTGTTCAAAATAATCCAATGATAACGGAATAACGGTGTTTTCTTGGGAAAAACTGCTGAAAATGTCTCAAATTGTGCTCTACATCTAATCGAAGGAGCTGAAGCATTTTTCGGTTTTTAAACGACGATATCTGTTACATTCCGGGCTTAAACGTGCTGAACAATTCATCCAGCTCACAAAACGCACCTTTGATTTTTTTCATAAGGTAACTGAGCGCAATGTTATGAGAAAAAAGTAAATCTCTTCAAATTCCGCAACATTTACCTTTTTTTACAGGCGAGAAGCAAACGATCCGATGCTTTTAGGAATAAACGCTCTAGACCTTTCTGATCGAAAATAACGGGAAATTATGATACGATTTGCGACACTTTGTATATTAATAATAAGACAAAAAGTAATTTATGTTTAAACAAAAACCTCCATGTGAATTTTCGTTTCATGGTTCAACATTTTTTTAAAAAAAGAATCCATTTGTCCCGTACAAAGAAGCGCGAAACTCAAGTAGCTTGAGAACAATAGCCAACCAAATAGCGATAAAAGCCAATTTTCATCGATTTTGCTGTTATGTTGGACTCAAACACCCTGTAGATGCACATTGGTGGGTTCCTTAGTCGGAAACTATTCATGGGGCGCAAAAAACGCCCACCGATTTCTAACCGAAAATTTTTAACCGCCAAGTTTTTTTCGACTTTTTCGGTTCCAATTCTATACTATTTTTTGTCACGTATTATTACTGATTATTACTGATTTGTAGACGACAGTACATAATTAAAAATTTTAATCTAATTTGAAACGTTTTTTTAGCGATACCAACTTTATTCGACGATATTTTCCCTGTTCTGACCTGAGCACTCTGTTTATTTATAGCAGAACCTTTCATGGGTCAAAAACTAGGCATTGAGCTTAACAAAACTCGCACCTAAAGTCTTGTTTTGCGCTAAATCTCAATTTGCCAATAAATTTGTTAAAATTGCTTATCTGTTATACCATTTTTCTGATAAAAAGCGAGCAATTCAACGCGCTTGAGAATAAACATGCTGAGCGCTTCTGAGCCAAAATAACCAACAATTATGTCAAATTTTGAGCGTTTTTTGATTATTAACTGTGAATGTCTTGCCTGTCCCCGACTTAAATTCTTATTGGGAGCAGTTAAGTCGCAAACTTTCCATTGCACGCAAAAACCCAACATGTAAAACATAGATTTTTGATCGAAAATTTCATCATTAATTAATTTCTGGGTTCGACTTTCCTAACAAAAACTGAGAGAGTTCGAAATGTTTCAAGTTCTATTCCATTTCTTTTACTGTGAACGAATAATAATAAATACTGGTCCATTTTTTACATAATCGGAAATTATCGTTTCATTTTAGAGGTTTTTGAACTATTTCAATCTTCGACCGACAATATATCTGCTTCTTGATTATTATTATTGAAGCCTCAAACTTTATATATTAGAATGATTTTATGAATTTATGATTTGATCAATTTATAATTTCAATTTTATATATTTGATGACCCGTTATTTGAAGCAAAAGTTGACCCTTGCGAAAAACTCAGTTTACGTATACATTTAGTTTAGAATTTTGTACTATTTCTTATGCAAAAAAGGCAAACATTTAATAACCTTGAGAATAGATGCTCGACCTTTAGGAGCCAAAATAACCAATGAATTACTATAGTTGATCTTTAACTCTCGATATCTCACCTAAACTGGACTCCAAAATCCTGTAAATTTCTACTAAAACGCTTCTTAGGCCTGAAACTACTCCGCAAGCTTCCAAAATCCAGATGTAAATTTACATTTTTTAGACCAAGATTTGACTCTTTTGTGAAGATTCGGGCAAAATTGCAGAACTTGAATGCAATTTTTTTGACCAAAAAGCCAGAAATTTAACGAGCTTCAGGATGGCGGCGTTGTTTTTGAGCCAATAATCTCTCTGTCCTCGACATTTTGCCTCTTCGCATCTCAAACACACTGTATATGAATAACAAAATTTCCATTGAGCGCTTACGTGTATAATTCATCGATTTCTGACCAAAAATTCCATAATAAATTCATATTAGGGTTGAATTTAAAAACAACTTAAAACGCCTCAAATTTCATATCATTTTTGGACTGTGAAGCGAAATGGCTAAATATTGGGGCATTTTGAAAATTTTCTATTTGCATCACACGATACTTGTATTCTAGACAGTTTTCAAAAAACATTTGAACTGGAAAACGCCCATCATTTTAAACCTCAGTATCTCTAGTGCAAGAAAAAATCAATTGCGGGAATTTTAAAGCAAAAAGTGTTATTTTTAACGCTTTTTTCCATAGCCAAATGACTAAACAAATCAACCTCAATCCGCTGTTTTACTTACCTATCAGCCAAAATCCCAAACAACGCCGATCCCACTATAATGCCAGCAAAGTGGCTGCTGCCAACTAAGGAAATTTTCCATTGGTTTTCCGTGCAGGTGATGTTCCACTAGAAATCAACGCAACTTATTTCCTTCCCAGGTTTATTTGAACCACTTTACCTCATTAACAATCGTGTAATCACTGCCACTGAAGACCCATTCGGTGCACTTAACAATGTTGTTCCTATCAAAGATAGACTTAGTGCATTGTTCTTCGTCTGCAATCCAGGCGGTTTGATTGACTGCAAAGCGATCACATTGGTCGGCTCGGAATCCTATCACTTGGCTGCTGTTATCCTGAAGGAGCGCCCAATCTATCCATGGTGCTTCGAAAATTGGGTTCGAAGCGTTTTCACATTCCGGGATGAAACACCTAAAGAATTACTGAACAAAACTGCATTTGATTAATATTGTTGGTTCCTACCGGTAATCTGGTACTCCTGCAGTAAACACGTAGCTGAGACTGTTGGCGGCTCCAAACAGAACAGGAAGACACACCAAAAGATACATTATGATCTGGAATCGTCCCAGTTCTCCAAGTTCCACAAGAATATCATCGAAGTCCATTGTTTTCGTGTCTTTGGTGTCGTCGTCTTCCATGGCTTTATTAGCATTATTTACCTTCTGCAACTGCAGATGATTGTTAATTTCTTTAATTTACGATAACTTGCACACTAAATTGTCGCCCGGGGAGATATACAGTGTTTACCGCCCATATAACTAATAACGCTATAAAAGCGAAATAGTTTTATAACTTTCCATGGCACAGTAAATTTGGAAATTGTTAAAGTGCAGCTATTTAGAACCAGTTTATCGTTGGTTATCATTCAATGTTGCCGACAAACAAGCAGTTTATTAAATTGCAGGAAGCGCAAAATGCATCCGCATTTTCCTAAAAAAGGCGCTTATTTTCAGCTGGTTTACCTGAGTACAGCAACAATCGGTCATATCCTGATTCCTCAATAAAGAACTGTGGAAACGTAACACTAAATGAAACTAAACTTGGAAAAACCTGCAACTCATTTTAGAACACTCGAGTTGTGCCTTCTTTGAAAATAAGACTCATCAGCCTTCCGTATTTAATTAACAAAATCGCCTTAAACACTCACCTGAAACAATCGCTTCAACCGATGTTTGTCTACTAATAAGTGTTGTTTATACTTGCGATAACTGCATTGAATAACTCAATTGATTAAAACCAAGATCTGCTTGAATACGCAATTAAACATTTATTGTAGTGATGTGAAAAACGAATTTATCGCTTGATGAGATTTGCTATTTGTACAGGACTGTGCTATGTTATTGTGCTGGTTAAACATGCATGATCTCGGATATAATTAGAACCAAATTTGCTAGAATTCAACCGCGAGTTGAGGACAAAACCTGCAATTTAGTGCACGTTTTTTGAAAGCTGTTCGGAAAAACATCTGAACTGGCCAGAGGAAAAGGACCATTACGATGACAAAAGTGAAAATTATGGAAAACCCAGTTTTTTCCCAGTAACGAATTCGCACTTTGCTGTCAGTCATATTAAATTGCTTATTAACATGTGTTGTTTTGCAACCATTTAATTACAGATCAAGCACGCAAACACTTTGCAGGGAATTCTGTAAATTTACTTGATTGTTTTTCTCTTAAGGCAATTAATTTGAATGGTGAATGGATGGGAAAACGTACAAAGTTAAGAACATGCATGATGACAATGCGTGCTAGCGAAACATCAGGAGCAAATTCCTACCTAAAACCCGAAAATCACCGATTATTCAGACAGTTTACCAGCAAAATTTTAGAGCTAGAAAATAATTTTCCAGATGCTAATCCCGTTTTCTGGAAAGAGGCGAAATCAACGCAACTCACCCAATTCGCTCTGGCTCAACAACTTCTCGCACCGAAAGAGGAAAAGTTTTCCTAATAATTCCCGGAACATGCGGAAAGCTCAATAATGATTAATAATTCACTGCTTTTGAGTGGTCTCTTAGATGTCGCTTTATTTTTGTGCATTGAGCAAATCCTCAACATCGATTGCATTGCAGCCCCCTTTTTCAGCCTCAAATCAATATAACAGCAAGTTTGTGATGATAATATTTGTTAATTGGCTTCAAACAAGATTCTCCAAAAACGGTTTTTTTCATCTTAGATATTGATTGATGGAATAAATTCCACCTATTCTCTTTATCGTTCTTGAGACTAAACTTGAGTAAAATTCCCATTGAATTCAATGAAAGTTTCTTCCAGTTTGGTCATATTTTCAGTTCAATTTAAATACCGGAATTCATTTGCTTAAACAGTTTTGCACATGGACGATCGTATCTCTGACAAAAAACGATGAAAAGTGGGCTCTTTTGCTAAAGCAGCAAATGTAGAAGCAAATTGAAAGGCCAAAAATGGGTAAAAACGGGCTTTGATACGTTAGTGAGGTCATTTCTCGGATGAAATAACCGGAATATACGGGGGGAAAATGTCGCGTTCACTCGCCTAAATTTCTTCCCAGATGTCAAGGCAGATAAATAAGTCGAGATTTCAAGTGAAACTTTATGGCCCCGAATATCTTGATCCGCTGCCGCTAAAAGCATCAGCAAAAGTTTCTTCAATGTAAAGGGTATTTATGATTATTTAATGTATATCTAGCCTAAGCTTGCTTATACGTCGGATGCAGCCGGAAACTAATCCATTTTCAGTTAAACTAACGCATTGAATTTTATGAAATGAGGCGCTTTAAAGCACTTTAAGTAATGTATAAATTCATTTTTCTCGAGATGAAAATGAACAACTTGCAGTTTGACTTTCTTTGAAAGAAAATGCCTGATTAGGGCCAATTTACACACATTTTTCGAAAGCACAAATATTATTCCAGTGCAAGAGTTCACGAAGAATTAAGGTGTAATTTTTCCTAGTCAGAATGCAGGCAGATCTAATGAATCAGGTCTTTCTTTTTCAGACATACTGTTGAACTTTAGGACAACGTTTGTGAACAAAAAAGGCGAAGTTGTTTCCGATTGGAGGTCCATTTCTGTGAATTACTTAAAAACGTGGTTCGTGGTTGACTTGCTGGCAGCTCTCCCATTCGATTTGCTCTATGCGCTCTATGGAGAAGAGGTAAACTTTAAGCAGTGTTTTTTCCACTGTAATTTCCAAAACACCCAACATCAGCAGATGTCGGTAATTTTTTCTAATTATGTTTTTTAAGTACTGTCATTTTTTCCAGTCTGGACCTTCGCACACTCACCTGATCAAGCTCACCAGGCTTCTGAGACTGCTGCGACTTTTGCAGAAAATCGACCGATATTCCCAATATAGCGCCATGATTTTGACCCTGCTTATGCTCTCCTTCACTCTGGTGGCTCACTGGTTGGCCTGCATTTGGTATGTGATAGCTCAAGAGGAAGTCGAAACTGACTTAGGTAAGAATCCCCAACTTTAGAATAGATGCAAGTAAAAATAAGCCCAATAAGATTGTCTAGTGTTGAACAAGTGTAAAGTTCTTATTAGAAAATTGAGCTACTTTTGCTTAGCGCGTAGATTTATCCTGGCAAGGCGATCAAAAGCAAGTTTTTAACCACCGAAACCAAATGCGTCTCCTGTAATAAATTCCTGTTTTTTTCGTATAGATTACCGTTAAAATATCCATCGAAACCGACATGGAAATCCGCCAGCCAGCGTAACAAAAGTGTGTTTTTAAAGGAACATTTTATTCGAAATTGAAGTTGCTTTTTGCAGCCACATATTCTGCGCTCATTAACGCCTCTTTGGCTTAATAATTCAATTATGTTCAGGCAGCAACCGTCTGCGCTGTTCACTTTTTCCAGACGATAATCCAGTATGTGCGAGGAAATTGGTGTTGGGAGGTTTTGCAACTACAATAAAATGCAACTTTACACTTTTCCAGTAGGATTAGGCAGTGAATTTACGGGTATATTGCTATATTGCAAAACTATATTGCCTCTTAAGCACTAAGAGGACGTAGCATTAAATAAATTCAATTTGAACCTGCATATTTAGTTGTTCCGTGTTTGACTTGGTTGACTTTTATTGAGTTCTTCTAAAACGCTTTCTACCTCAGATTGCTACGCAATTCAGTGAGTTTAATGGATGTGGTTGCTTCCCCTAGAAACTTTCCGTTGCAGGTATTTCTATAAGAAATCCTGGAAATGTCTGGAACGAAACCAGCGCAGTTCATTTCGCCCTGAAAATACGACATAAAATCACTGTTAATCTAGTGAGTGCTTTGCCAGATTTTCTTCACCAATTTCAAACAAAAATCGTCACGTTTTGCCTCCGATATAAAAGCTAGCCGTATCTATAGAACTGCCTGCCAAAATGGAAGCAAAATAAAACCGACATGATTCGAACTACCACTCTATGAGCATTGATTTGCATGCCATGATACTTCCAGGTTGAGATCGAGAGTGGAATTAAAGTGTATTAAAGGCAAATGCGCTTTTTCCTTCGTTACCATCATCATTAGTAACATTAGCGGCATTTGGAGGAAACGAAATGGAGAAAACGCATTACAGTGGAACTATTCGACTGTTTCCATTAAGCCAAAGCAGAATTTATTTAAAAAATGACTCAATTAGCGAAAGAGCTCTATTGCACATAAGCCCAATTAATTATGCATTTTAACATGAATATTTATAGATCAATGTGACGCCAAAGCTCTATAAATAATCCAGTCAATACATTGATTACACTGGAGGTAAAAAACGGTTTCAATTCAGGTCAACAAATCTCGAAAAAAATCGTTGAAAAAAGGCTAAAAAAATAGGAAAAACAGCCACTAGATCCAGCGTCAATTGATTGGTATAATAAGCAATTCAAACACCAGAAAAGGCAAGCGAAATTTAAATTTCGTTGGCTAAAGGCGTTGTGTAAATTTCCAGTAATGAACTGCAAATTGAAGTTGCCCTTTGTGTTTGCCGAGCGAAAGTTCCCAAACTTGCTAAACTATACAGTTAAATAGTTAAGGGAATAAGAAGTTTAGAATACTATGCAAGATGTCCAGTTTATCTAGTCTTTGTTTACTTGATTATCTTCTAAATATTTTTTTTTATTTGAATACTTATGTTTAGAAAACCCGGAAATGTAAACAGTCTTCAAACAAATAGGTAACGACTAAAATGCCTCAGTAAACAAGGCTTGCAAAAAACAGAAGCCCATGTTTAAAACATCAGGATGCCTTCCATAAGGGTTTGTTTGACTTAATTTTAACATGGCTCTAATTGGATATGAGTGAAAAGATTATACTCTAAAGCCCGACCGATGGGTAGAGCAATAGAAACACCTGCGAAACAGGGAAATATCGCAAATTTTCGCTTTTAGTGTCGCTTTTATTAAGGTTTCCCCCATAACGGTTTTGAGCATATTTATGAGGCACAGATTTAATCAAAATGGGTTTTAGAATGGCAATGAATTTAATTAGGTAATAGTAAGTGCCCATTTTCAAACTTTCAATCAAATGGCTAATCATAATTAGCTAAATTTATTTGCAAAGCTACAAATTGCGCGAAAGCTAAAACAATCGGATTTTGGTGAAATTCAATGGAATTCTTCTAATGGAATATGCATATTAGGGCTTTCGGTGACTTCGTTCCCACCAATTTGTTTGCGGCAAAAAAATTATATTAGAGGAACGTTGACTAAGGAGAATGAATTTCCTCGGCAAATTACCGAGAGCAAATCCGAAGCCCGAAAAAGAGCGGCTGATAAAATATTTAGAACCTCAAGGCGGCTTTCCACGACATTATCAAAAAAATTGCGGTAATTTTTACATGGGCACAATCAAGCACCGATTACCATTTTAAACGAGATCCAACCTGTTTATTTCCAGTAATACTTCCTGTGCAATAACTGAACCCAATAAATCAATTTAAAAATTGTTTAAAGGTTTCGTTTGCTTCTCTGACTGAAGTCTTATGGTTCAAGGGCGCAAAACAATTTATTGCTGTTTTCCATCCTTGAAGCAATCAATGAATAGGCGTTTAAAGCGAATAGAGGTTGATTTATTTGATTTGCTTGGCGTAGATCTTCGCAATGGGTCACTTTTTGTGAGAGTTTTGGGAAAGTTTGCAATATTTTGTAGATGAAGTGATTTTCGGGAGATTTGTTCTAATAACAATGGTAACCCTGAAGCACTCTTATCGCAGCCCAGGCTGGAATTTTCCAGAGGCTGAATTCTAAATCTTGCCCTAGTGTATAAGGTGTAAAAGTCGATATTTATCACTCCTCAAAACATGTTCAAGGTAAAACCTCTTTCGGCATTTTAAGGTCGCTAGAAGTTTTATTTTGATTTTTTCACAAACTGTTTGTTGGGTATTGTTTGTGAGTGCTCGTATTTCGAAGAGCACTGTTTATCAATATGTAATAAAAGACTGTCTGAGAAAATTCTGTCTTCTTAAAGACAACAATTTTTGAGGTAAAATACCCAACAAACAGTTTGTGAAAAAATGAATCCGCCTCAACAATATAAAACTTTTCGAATGCCTCCAGTTCCAATTCTTTCGGTGATAAGCGTAAAAGCCTCATTATTTGCTAAGCAAAATGCTATGCATTAAGCTCTGATGTACATAAACTCTATCGGATCTAAAATCTGTGAATTTGCCTTAAATACAGGCTGTCCCCTAAGCGCATAATCAAAAGGGTAGTGCGACATTATTTGGGTCAAAAAAAGACGATCTTACTTAACTCTTTTTAAGAAAAACTGTCTGACTGTTCTGCTACTGAAGATCAAAGTTAAAAAAAAAATTCAAATATGGTCTAAATGATACGCTGGATTTAATCGAAGCTCGCTAACAATTTTAAATACGTTTTATAATTTACGTTTTTGGTAAGAAACTACGAGAAATTTTTGCTTGGCACCTAACTTGAATCAATTAAATTTTTTGGGTTGATTTTTGGGCGAATTCTTTGTTCACATTTTTGTGCTTTTTGTAAAATCTTGAGAAATTTATAGTATTTGAGATAAAAAATATTTCTGTATTTTTGCGAAATAACAATTTTAGATATTAATAATTTTTACAACTTAAACTAAGTTTTTAGGTAATGAGTTTTAATGAAACTTGCTTCGATTTTTTTTCCGCCCGAAGGAATATTATGAAAAACTTTTCTTAATTTCTTAAGAAAGCAATTCGGATAAAAACTAAAATACCGTGGCCTGAGACCCTATCAGTCGGTCAGTTAATAATTATAAAACGCTTTCTAGTTAAAAGTCTGAGTTTTAAGTCTGAACTTAACGCAAACTTAAATAGCAATGAAAAGAAAATATCTTTTGCGGAGCAACTATGAATGCTATAATATTTAACAAAGATTACAAAAATGTCAAAAACGATTAGTGCATCAACAAAAAAAAATGAATTAATTGCAGCAACTACGTAAAAAGTTCTGGGTGTTTTTGTACCAAAACACCCAAGAATTAACCACTTGCTCAAATCGAATATACACGCTTACTTTATCAAAATATGTCTTACAAAAAAACAAATTACCAACGAGTTTCATTAAAATTAATCCTATTTTAAGAAACGTAATTTTTCTGAAAAACTTGAATCTAAGCAATAGTTAGGTAAAATCGTTATACTTTTTTGAGCCAAAGAATGGCTTCTGATCACGACACACCGGAGAAATTCTAAATAAACTTCGGCTTTTAACCGGAGCGGCAACACAAATCGAACTATCAACAAAAACATCCATAATTTCATTTGATTTATCGAGACATTTGAGGCTAAAAATGTTAAAAGTTTTCCTGGGTTTTGACGTAAAATGGATGTTTAAGCCCAACTGGAGTCTGTGTTCAAAAAATGACGATTGTTTTAAGTTAAAACTCCCGATTGTTTACGTCAGATGATCGAGGTGGTCTATTTTGGCCCTTTTATGGGCGTGGATCATCTGTTTGCAAGAAATTATAAATAAACTTCGGCTTTTAATCGGCACAACAGCACAAACCGGAACCAGCAAAAATTCGTGAAGCGATATCATTTGATTTGTCGATGCATTTGAGGCTAAAAATAATCAAAGTTTTCCTGGGTTTTGTCACAAAATGAATGTTTAAGCCCAAGTAGAGTATCTTTTTGAAAAATCATGATTGCTTTAATTTAAAAGTCCCCATTGTTTAGATCAAATGATCGAGGTGGCCTAGCTTCTGTACCATCTAGTCCAATTGATTGTTTTTCAATAATTTCATGTAATATTCGACTGAGTGAACACGAACTTCTTCATTTATGGTCATTATAAAATGTTATTCAGTTATTAGTAAAGTGAATTCAGATTTTTGATAACATTTCTGATAAAACTGACTCCTATTCTACGTTTTCTGGATTCCATCCCAATTGTCTGCACATTCTCTCTCAAACTCTCAGCTCTGTTTCTTTGATCTCTTTCTCATGAACTTCCGTATTTTTTCGGGTTTGCTCTTCTTGGACCTTCAATATTCTGTGAGAGTTAGAATATGACCTTTTTCTTTTATCGTCTTCTCTTCAGGTGCAGAAGATTTTCGAAAATGCAATTTACTCTGCAATAATTCATGTAATGTTACTGGCTAGAAAGTTTGCCTGTCGACTCTTCTTTTTTATTCTTCTCAAACAATATGTCTAATATAAAATGAACAATGAATGGTGTTTTCTAAAGACTTTTTGTTCCAGGCTGGATCAAGGCATTGGCCGACAGGCTTCGAATAAATGATATTACGAACGTATCCAACACTAATGCGTACGTTACAGCCCTCTATTTCACATGCTCAAGTTTAACCAGCGTGGGATTTGGAAATGTTAGCGCGAATACAACCAATGAGAAAATATTCAGTATTTGCGTGATGCTGATTGGAGGTAAGAGTGTTCACTCTGTTAGTAATAACAAAAAGTGCTTTGACTCTGGTCAAAGTTGACTACTTACCAGCAGTTAATTGGATAAGGATCGGCTTTAATCCAAACACTCGACACTGAGCAATTAATTGCCTAACTGAGTGAAAGAGTTATGGCCGTGTAGCAATCTGGAGGGTCAATTATGGACACCACAGCAAAGGACTGGCTTGCAGGAGTTCGGGACTAAATTATCGACCTCAATTCGGGGATTGCTCATAGCTGTTTTATTAGTTTCGGCAATGACCCATGCTTAAAAAGCTACTGGCGTCAGATTGATCTGCCCGATCCATCAAACCGAAGCTGCTTCATACACAATATTCACGGTTATCATGGAAATTTTATTCTCATTTGCAGCTCTAATGCATGCAGTAGTGTTCGGTAATGTAACGGCGATTATTCAAAGAATGTACTCGAGACGATCGCTTTATCACACTAAATGGCGAGATCTAAAGGATTTTTTCACGCTCCACCAAATCCCCAAGGAGCTGAAAAACCGTATGCAAGATTACTTTCAAACAATGTGGTCGCTGAATCATGGAATTGATATTCACGAGGTAAGTGCCATAATTAAAGCGCCCATTTGGCTTTAAGTAGCAAAGGAAACCTATTTTTAAGTGCAATTTTAAAGTACAAAAATAAGATGGATTTTTGCGAATTTTTCCAAATTCTCTCTACACTTCTGGTTTCAAAGCAATGCGCCCGATAACGCGCAATATATCTCCTCTAAACACGGCCTCACGTAAAAGATGAAAATGAAGTTAATTTGAAAAGTATGGTAAACTTTTCCTGCATCCTCCGATTTCTCAGATCAAATTTCATACTTATGCGTCATAAAAAATCAATGAGACCCACATACATTTTACTAGAAGGCATAATGGAAATTGTTCAAGTACAACTGAATTTTTTGGCGTTAAAACTGCGCTTAATTGCTGAAAGTTCTGGCCAATTAATATGCTTCCCTTGAATAGTGGAGCTATATGTTGTAGTTACACGAATGTCACCTGGAAAATTATTTGCTTAATCCTCAGTTAAATGTTTAAGTGCCATGATTTCCATAAATCTCCATTATAAGGATCTTGAAGACACGTGGCTGGGTTAATAGACCATTAAAATTTGAGCGTCGCATCAAGCCCAGGTTGTTTAATTCGATTCTGTTCAGTTTCCGGTAACATGTAGGTGTTAAATATTGCGGAATTTTCATATATTGTTTTCGATTTTTACAACGGAAAATTCCACTTGAATCCAGGCGGAAGCTATTGGGAAGAGTACCGTATTTTTGGGACAAACCGCCCCAATGCTCTGATTTTACTCCCAATTTTACCATGCAGCTAAAACTTTAACATTTACATTTCAATGTCCATAAATGGACATCAATTTTTTCATTTTTTTGTGTACCTAAATGCAAAATGTTTTTGTGATTTCCATTCTGAAATTCTTTTATGAAACACTTGCCCAACCCCAAAAATCGCCAGGGCGGAAAAATATTAACAGTTCAGAATCGAAAGGCTGCGTGAACAAAAACTAAAGAACAAAGAAAGGTTAATGAAAACACGTCTGAATCAAATGAGATGAAAGAACAGTTTTTGAAGAGACGGGCCTGAAATTAAAAGACTAAAAGTGAGCAAAGAGCAATTCGAGAAAAGTTCTGCCAACATCGATTGTACTTTTGAACCTGTCCAGAATTGAGATTAGAGATAAGTATTTGGAACAATTGTGTGGAAATAAAGCAGAAAATGGATTTGGAAAATGCTGCAAAATTATTAAGAGAAAAAAGATAGTCTGTGCGTTGATAGAACTGAAAGGGAATAAATCCATGGGTCATTGATGTGGATTTCTTTCCGTTCAGTTCTTGACCTGTAGAAATTAATAAACAGACCATATTTTGACAAATTTAACAATTTTCATGATCTATTTTCCAGCTTAAACGTTAGTCGCCTGATCATTGATTGAGCCTGATTTGGTTATTGGTTTTTTTGAACGCTCTTTTCAGACGAAATAATAATTTCAAATAAAACATCCAAATGTCTGTGTTATTTAGTGTGGGAGACGGGAATTTTTAAGCAAGCGGGCGCAATTCACTTTTGTGAGTAACATTTATAAACAACATGTGTATTTTGCACAATCAATCAATTTGTGAGTAACATTTACAAAGCCGCTAAAAATCAGGTTACGGATGGATTTTTCCGAACCTTCGAACCGAACGAAATCTAGCGTTTACATAAAGTGTGAAAATTCAAAATATTTTTGGCTTAAAAATTGAACTTCGAACCATCATAACTTGCCAGTTTTGTAACCGAGTTTAGTTTTCTCAACCGTAATTTTTAAGAATGATCAGCGCAGTTTTATTTTGTTTAAATAAAGTGAGATTTTCGTGTCTGAAAATGGTTGTTTGGCACTTAAATCCATCTCCAGTTTGCCTAAGTGTAAATGTGTGATTTAAATTGCTGAAAAAGCCGGTTTTTACAGCAGATTGTGCTCTTTACAACGCAGTCTTAATGATCCAAATGGGGCCAATGTTAAAAGAGTTATTAAGAGAAAAATTACCACAGCAAAAAATTTTTTTTTCAAATATTTCTGGTTTCTGACCTGAAATAAAATCTGTTAACATTAATATTATGTTGCTTTTTCTGAATTTGAAATTTTCACCTGAGGCCAGTATTAAGAGAAATGCGCGAAAAATTCTTACTAAAACAACATGCCATGAAACTCAAATCAATTTTTTTTCAAAAATCTTCTAGAACGCATTTTGAGAAAAAAAACAAAAAACTTTGAAAAATGTAATTTTGACAGGTATAGTTTTCGAAAAAATAACGAAAAATTGAAGAAATTTCAAAACCTGTTGAAAATTGACGCTGACTGTAGCACTCTTTGAATAAAAAATAAAAAACCGGTAGAAAGTTTCACTTTTAAACACATTCAAAAAGTTATTTTGTGTATATGTTGTCACTTATTTTGTTTTATTTTATTTTATTCTATATAAATTCTGAACAAAAATATTTTATAGAAATCTAGGTATAGCAAAGTGGAAAATAAATAATTTCAATTCTCTAATTCAGTATCGAGCACAATAATATATAATTTGCATCTGAGATTTTGAGTTTCATTCTTTCATCTTCGAAAAGATATTCAATTTTAATGGTAAAAGACCGGTAAACCGGATAGAGAGAGGTAGAAAAACGTTTCATAAAAGTGACTGGAAATAAAGAAAGGAACACAAGCAAAAACATAATACAGGGCGATTCATTTAAATTTAGGGAGTTTGAAACAACTTTCGGTATAACCAGAAGTTGCATGATATCGCTGTTATTTCATCTGAAAAGAGCCATGATCAAAATTTGCAGGATTAAAAACGCATTGCTTTCCGAAATGTTCTAATGGACGCTGACCGTGAGATACCCTGTATGTTTGTTTTGAAGAATATGCAAAGTAGCCATAAGTTAGTAATTAAAACAAAGCCGAAAGAAAATTTAAAATTTCCTAAACAAACTTTAATTAAATTGGAAAAAATGCATGATTTCTGTCCAGACGCTGAAGGAGTTTCCTGAAGAGCTACGAGGCGATGTGTCGATGCACTTGCATCGAGAAATCCTCCAACTCCCAATCTTCGAAGCTGCTTCCCAAGGATGCTTGAAGTTGCTGTCTCTTCATATCAGGACCAACTTCTGCGCCCCTGGCGAATATCTAATCCATATAGGAGACGCTCTCGGTTCAATTTACTACATATGCAATGGATCCATGGAAGTTGTGCAGAATAATATGGTTGTCGCGATTTTAGGTAAAAAAGTATGAAAAATAAGGCCGATGAAATTCGGCGCCTGAAGGACTTATTCGAATAATCGTATTTTGCATTATGCTCGTGTGCTCATATTAGTTCAGCTATAGCGAAACCGTCAAGCTTCACTAGTTTTTGGCAAAAGCAAAACGTTCGTGTATTCAAACAGGAAATGTTTGCACTATCAGAAAATTTCAAATTCATTGACTTAGAAGAAAATTGAGCCGACTGCAAATTTGCATACATTCATCCAAAATATGAAGCAGTTTATCGAAATACACTTCGCGGCATTTTCTGGGATATTTGAATATTTAACGGGCGTCAACTTTTGTTAGGAAAGGGCGATTTGGTGGGATCCGACATCAGCATGCATCTTCAACATTCATCAAGCAGCAATCAGGATGGCGGAAATCGTGGGGGTGGAAACATTGATATCGTTATTAAGTCCAGCAGTGATGTTCGAGCTCTTACCTACTGCGATTTGAAGTGTATCCATATTCAGGGACTTGTGGATGTGCTGAGGTAAGTCCTCGCTCTGATTTCCTTCAGTTTAATTAATTTCCTCTTTATCCAGCTTAACTGGCCTAGTGATGGTTTATTTATTATATTGGCCTTTATCGCAAATCGCCAATGATGCGACAAAAGCCCGTTTAATAGCACACAGCGAATGGCGAGATGTGAGAATAATGTGGATAATTGTGTTTCATATTGGACCCATTTTCAGCATACGAAGCTTATCGCTTTCCTTTTTCCATAGCCCGCTTGAGCTAGCTAAAATTATTTTGTAATTTAGCGCGGTTCTCTCGCAGTCCCTTTACTTGGATTGGTTTATAAATTTCACCCGAAAAACTAGTCCGAACTAAAAATGGACCACTACAAGCGACACATAAAAGCAACTGTGTAGAACATTATGTTTTTTCCAGACTTTATCCAGAATATCAGCAGCAGTTTGCCAACGATATTCAGCATGATCTCACCTTCAACGTCAGGGAAGGCTATGAAGCGGAGGTAAGTGGAACTGGAAAAAGGTAGTCAAAAATTTGATACCCAATTGATTATATACAATCAATTAGCTTGAGCAACAGCTCTAAATTTGATGAAAATATTGAAGTGAAAGGTTTTTCAATGTGTACTCGCATGAACCACATAGATCTTACAAAGCCCAATTTCAGCAAGAATCCGAAGGAAATGGAGTACCATCGTTAACACTGCCCAGCATTAGTGAAGACGATGAAAATCTCCACGAAGGAGAAACGTCCCCAGTGTCCCCCAACAGATCTCCACTCCTTCAAATTTCCAGCAGCCCTCGCCATGCCAAGTTTAACTTGCGGTTGGTCTTCAAACCAGCAGACGTAAAAATCAACGTTTCTTAAATATTTTTTGTATATAACAGATTGCAAGAAGCTCAGGAAAGTCCAACACGAAGACCGCGACTTGGTGGGGTTGCAACCAATCATCTCGCCATGCTACGGGAAAGAGTGGAGAGGCAGAGAAGCGTCATTATGCCACACTCCAAGTATAGTTCTTGTGACGAATTGACTGGCAGCAAGAACGAAAGTGATTCGAGTGGCAACAAGGAAAGCGTGGAAAGGTTGGATAGCCAGATAACGACGCTTCATCAAGATGTGGCGGCGCTTAGCGTCGAGGTGAGTGTTGGAAGCAAATAAATCAACAGTCCTGCCAAAGGCTATGATTTTTGTAGGTTCGGAATGCTATTCAAGCTCTACATGATATGGCCACGCCCTCGTCCGGGCATGCTTCAGCTCATTACTCCGCCCAATCAAACCCCAACATTGCGGACCTCCATCACTCATCGTCTGGTTTAACGCGAAGCAACTCTCATCCAACAGAGATGTTTTGTTGGGACGGAGTCCCTCCAGCTCGAGTGGTTTCGACCATCACTGTAACGGATAAAGAAACGCAAACAGATGCACAGGAAATTCTACGGAACTTTGTTCAGGAAAATCCGAAGATCATTCTAGAAATTCTGGGCTTGGATTCGACAAAGATCCTCAATAGAGCCAACTTGAAGAAAAGCCACAGCAATCCGGACTACACGTGTCGCAACGACAGATATAACGAAAAGTGTATAATAAATATGAATAGTAAAAACGACTGTAGCATAGTTGTGGATGAGGAGAGTGAGAATGAACTTGAGAATACTCCGTTCTTATGGAATCAGCCGTTGCACAATGGGAGGAGGGTGCAGATTTTTGAGAATCTGGGCCGCACGCAAGGCATTATTAACTATAGGCGGAGCATTGATAGTTAAATTTGCTTGCATTTCTACTGTCAATGATTTACAGCCAGTCAATTTCTATCTAGTAATTCTATTGCATGGCAAAGTATATACAAAGTGTTTAAAAATACACTAGCAGGTCTTGAATATAATCGCTTTACCTAAAATGGAATCACGACAGTGAATGCAGCGAAATGTGTTTACAACTTTACAAAAAATTGATTAACAGTGATCGTGATTTTTGCCTACTGCTCTCTTTTATTGGAAGCAAATGCCCTTCAAGTTTCATTCCTGAAAATACTTTGATTTAAATCACGCGAAAATTAAGAGTTAGGTGAAAAATGATTAATTATTTGCGAACCGTAAATTTTGTTAGAATTTGCTCTCTTGAATAGTTGTGTTTTGCTAGCAACGTGTTTGAGGAAAATATCAAAATGTCATCAAATGCATATCGAGTTTGGTATGAAACGGCTTAAAGTCTCATGCGTCCGATTTTCTATCGTCCGACGAATTCAAAGTGTTTCTAACGTGCAAAATTTTACTTTTATTCGATGTATGGGTGACCTTATTTCCACTGAACTTTTGCCATTTTTTGCCATTTAATGTTTGCAAATGTTTGATTACAACATTTTCAGAGACCGGTTTTTAATCTTCTTCTGATCTCCCCGTCTCGCCGTCTCCTTATCAACGTTGGCGATCCAAATGGCCACTGTGGTTTTGCAAACCGCTGCTCGGAAAATCTCTGTGGATATGCGGTGTTCACTAAGCTGCAAAAAATTAGGATTCCGGAGGATTTTGATGAAACTTTCACCATCTTTAGAGACAAGTGTCCTCTAAATTTGGTAACATTAAAATCGCTACGTTAGTTTAGAAGATGCAAATTTTGAAAGAAAAGAGCGCAGTTGAGTGCAAACTTACATTTTGAAATCGGATTTAGTACACTGATAACTACCAGTAAATTCTCTACTATTTTTATGAAACTTTGCCCATCTGTTTAGTCAAGTATCTTCTAACGATGCTGAGATGTTTGAATCGCTACTTGCTTTAGGTTGAAAGTTGCGAATTTTGAAAGAAACGAAAGCAATTGAAGGAATTGATCCATTTTGAGATCGGTATTTAATATTATTATATTATTAAGTATTAAACTGCTAGCAATCAAAAGATTCCGGAAGATTTTTATAAGACCCTAGGCATCTTTAATTAAGTGTCCTTTAAAGATGGTAATAGTTTGGAATCCGTACTTGCGTTAGTTTGGCAGATGCGAATTTTGAAAGGAAGGAGCGCAGTTGAGTGAAAAGATCCATTTTTAAATCTCTATTTAGTAAACTGGAAACAATCAGAATTTAGGACGATTTCTATGAAACTCTGGCCATCTGTAGAGTCAAATATCTTCTAACGATGGTGAAATTTTGGAGTCGCTACTTGCTTCAGTTTGAAAGATGCGAATTTTGAAAGAAACGAAGGCATTTGAATGAAAACATCCAATTTGAGATCGTTATTTAATAAACTGCTAGAAATCAGACGATTACGGGCGATTTTTATGAAACTTTGGACATCTGTAGAGCCGCGTGTTTTCTAAAAATGATCAGATTTTCAGATCGCTACTTTAGATAGTTCGGAAGATGCGAATTTTTAGAAGGAACAGCGCGCTAGAGGGAAACAACTATTTTGAAATCCGCATTTATCGGAGTTGTACAAAAATCAATGTTACTGGCAATTTTAATAAACGTTTTTCCTTTTGTAGAGTCAAGTGTCTGCTAAAGATAGGCAAATTTTCAAAGCGCTAGATTCCAAACCGCATGCATGAGACTTCAACTTTAACGATCGGAGATTGCGATTTTCAATACGCATTTTTTTTTGTTTGTTTTTTGATGAAAAATTTCGAAAAAACCATCAATTGGGGACAACAAATGTTTGATACCATTGATTTCCAAAGACTTTTTTTAAACCGGTAAACGATTCGATCCTACAAGGCGCTGAAGAAATCTTCAATAAGACCCTTTTTTAGTTTTGCAGTCCACTGAACGCTTCTTAGAACCCACTTGAATTGCTTGTGCGATTTACAAATGTTTACGTCTTTTGCCGTTTTTTGCCTCTAATATTTTACGAGCAAGAAATGTTTGTGCTGTGAAAAGAAAGCGTTAATTCGATTATTTATCGGCCGTAGCGCAAATTAGTAGTACACCATATTAATTTAAGCCCGAAAAAAACGTTTGCTCAATACATGCGGAAACTAAGTAAAAAATCTAAAATCTGAGAGTTGTAAACCCGATAATCTAACTTAGAGAAGTGCAGGAATTGTTTCATTTTTTTCGTTTTGCTCGAAAACTCTAAGAGTTGCACAAGACCCAGCTCGCAAATCAATAAATTAATTTTATTTTCAAGGCACTTTTAATAAAAAAAATTTCTACACCCTGTAAACCGGTAAAAAATCTAGTTTTTTTAAACACTCTGTATATATGTAGGTAATCCAGTTAAGCTATATGAGTATTACGTTGTATTAACGAAAATAGTATAATATTGTACATACCTCACATATCCTCTACTTCGATAATAATAGTTAGACAAATTTGGTATATTTTTTTAATGCTGTAAATAGGTTTTACGTATTCTTTGGAAACTTTTACTCTCGAATCGAATGGTGTATTGAGACTTAAACGAGCCAAAAGCAGTCAATGAGCGGGTTATTAAAGATGAAGGTTCTTCTGGATGTTTGTGCCATTTGGCGGATATTTCCATGAAGGCTCGTTTGAAATCTTGTACACATTGATTAAGCATATCATGTGATCTATACAAGGTAGTGCCTCTATTGTGATCAGAACGTGTTTTATTATTAGTTGACTAAGACAGTACGTTAACTATATCTTCACTACGTTCTATTTAAACATGTTCCTTTTCCATCGAATTTGCGTTGATAATATCAAGGTAATTACTTAACGAGGGCAGTAATATCGATTTGCTCATTAATCCGGGTAGGTTAAGTGAAACGAAAAAATTTGATGTTATCAACTGTTTTTTTGATCAAACATTCCATTTAAATTTAGCCAATGTCCAAAATACTTGGCAAAACCCAGTCAAACGGTGGCTTTGGACATCGCAAGTTTAGACCTGTTAAATTTTAAGAATGATTGTTTTCAATGCAAGATTTTAATGTTAGAAATGAATGTTCAGTTTTTAAATAAAAGCCATCAAAAGCATAAACAATTGTTTAGTTGATGCGCTAAAGCCTGACTCTGTAAGCTACTAGATTAGTTCCGTATATTCGTAATGCAATTATTAATATGAAAAGTCCATCAGTGGAATTTGTTAAAAAACCAAATCAAATCCAGGAACAGGAACTAATCACTCGAGATTTGGCTTTCTTCATAAAATGAAAGTAGTTACAAGCTTGAGAACAACAAGGAACTTAGTGGGCGTGAAATGGCATGTATGGGCAATTTTGCGCTACATTTTTCCTAAACAGCGTCAAAATCGCTCCAGAATCGTGGTTCCATTCCATTAAATAACTAATCTTGATTGCAATTATTTCCTATTAGGAGAGAAATTGATAATCAATCATTTTATTTGTAATTTTATGGCCCATCTGGTGCGGCGATTTCTTGAAAGCCGCGTTCTACGAGGCGAGCCTATATTTAGTCCAATTGCGTTTCCCCATAATTACTTCTTGAGAATAATTCGGTTCCACTATGGGCATTGCCGAGAAATTTTAATTACCGCCACATCTTGTCTAAGCATTGTCTACCAGTGCTTCCAACCAGACGGTCAAATTAGCGAAAAATGTGTAAAATCGGTCTTCGGCTCGAATCCTCACCAGTCGTTTGCAATTGAGGAAATGGCATCGGGTCATCGCCTATTTTAATTGCTATCATGCTAATCTAATTAGGTAAATATATAACTGTAATGCGAAAGACCCGGTTTTTTCGAATCAGACAAACCGAGAATATAAATTTGAAAAGTGCGGCGATGAGTGTGATTGGAATCGCTAACAAATTGCCGGTCCCAACTACTTTTGTCAGTTGCGGGCTATTCCGATTTCGGTTGATTAATTATTAACTTTCTACGAGATCAGTCTTTATAATAAGTACTTAGTGTGTAATAATGGTGTCTGAGCGGTAAAATGGTGCAGGAATTATGTGGCTGACGTTTTTCAAATTGGTCAAATGGAGGCATTTTGGTTTTTTATTTGTGTTGGGCACCGTCATCAAACGTGAGTATTTTTTCACTTGTTGAATTGAAAAACATTTCTTTATTTTTTATGTTTTACTCATAAGGAAGCACAAAATGGACAGAACAAGGCTTTATGAATATTTCTAGTCCCCAAAAAATTGTTTCTGAACTTATCTCAAGAAACTCAACTCAAGAAATTTTGGAATTGCTACTTGCGTTAATTTGGAAGATGCGAATTGAGGGCTTCGAAAAATACAAAAATTTATGAATTTTTCCAGTCCCAAAAACCAGTTTTTGAAGTTTTCTGCGCAGTTTTAACGCAAAAACACAAAAGTTCGGTTTCGCCCAAAACTCGCCTTCGCAAAGATATTTGATGCATCTTTGAACTCAGCACAAAGAGCTTTATCTTGAGGCAAATAGTGGTCGCTTTCTATCCAAAATTTGCATGTTTGGATTTGAAAACGATTCAGCAAACCAACGTCGGACAAAATCGATCTATTTCGGACATAATTTAACTTAAATCGACATATTCGGGACACGTTTTTTAGTACGCTTTGTATGCAATTTTTGTCAGTTTACATATTGAACTGATCTGATCTGAATCTGATCGCAAATGTTCGAATAATTAATGCCAAATATGACTGTGGATGCCGTTAAACTCAAAAGCTTCCTAAAATGCCATAAAGTTTACACGCTTGCAAACAGGGTGTTCCGAAATAACTCTCTCAATGAAAACTGTAGATTTCTTATGAAGAAATAAACATTTTGTGCTTCGAAAACTGACACGTTGATATTTGCAAATAACTCAAAAAGGTGACAGAAAAAGAAGAATATAAGAGACAAGAAAGTTTTTGCGTTGTAGAGGGAATTAAAAAAATGTGTTCTTAAACTCCGGTTGTTCACCTCCAAAAAGTTTGGGGTAGTTGAAAGGGAAAAAAGCCCATATGTGTAAATAAAACTAAGCACTTGCTTTCATGGGTTTATTTGAACTTACCTAATTATTTTGATTCATTATTACCACCTCTTTCTCTTTTTTTGGGTTGCAAATTTAATCACTCTGTATATGTATAAGGTGTCCCAATAATGTGCAATAATTTGGTTGCACCTAAAAGTTTAGAGATGGGCAAAAATTGAAAAAAACCCATTTTCTTAATTTTGCGCATTGCATATTCCGAAATTATTTGCAGTGGAAACACTACCGACACCAACTTTGACTTTTTTGCATAAAACAGTCAATTTTTTTTGCTGTAAGAAAATTATGCTTTTGAAATGGTTATTTTGGAAATTATTTTCTCGGAAACGGTAAGAGATAGCAATCGACTTCTTTCTGCGACTCTTAGAAGAAGTAACAGGCCTTTTTGTTTTTACCTCAAATTTTCATTAAGTGCTTAGGTGCATTTTCTACAAATCATCAAATTTCGAATATTTCAGTTTCCTAAAATTACTGGTTTTTTTAATGAAAACCTTAATTTTTTTATTGCAATTTATTTCGTATTTTATATTTAGTATCACAAGACATGATAAGAGGTAAAAATTTTTTTTAAATTGGTTAAAGGCATTAAATTTTGATAATTTGTTGAAAATGCAATTATGCACTTGCAACATTTCTTGCTATAAAGACCGAAGAACAAAACAGGAGACTGTATTTTACTGTTTACTGGCTGTACATAACGAACAAGAGCTGTTCTGAAGACTCGCATTAATTTCGAATTTTTGCATTTAGCGTGAAAATTAGAAACATTTCTAAAACGATATTTGGTATAAAACAGTATGAGCAAACGGTGGACTGTAAGATATCAAATTATTGGAAATTTAATGCAAAAATCTGGAAGTTTTGAATAAATCATGTTGGACCAACTCTTAATTTCCTGATTATTGTGCAGCAAAACCCCAAAACAGTTTGAAATCAAAAGCGAAGTAGAAAATAAGAATTTTAAAGCGATGGGAATTATATTTTTAAGTATGTAAACTAAGTGACTTTTTTTTACAAACTTTTGCAATGTTTTTGGACTTAGTCATCGACTATACCGAAATTCTTTTGCCGAAAAGAAAACTTCATATCTTAGTCTTTTCTCTCGGTTTCCACAGAAAGCTTTTCCTTTTTAGCATTTTTTCCCAAAATCTGCAAAATCCTTGAGCCATTATGGATCAATGTAATTCAAGCAACTAAACGTTTCTACGTGACCAGATCTTAAAAATACTATTCATTGAGTTGTTGTTTACATAATAGAGTATATTTATCTAGCGAGAAATGTGAAATCGATTATCTCATTCGGTTTACTTTTCACTGTTATTTTCTACTCATGGAGTAAATAACATAAACAAAACGCTTTCATGTACAGGGTTTTTGAAAAGTAATAGTAGTCAACAGAGAGTAGATTTGGGGTTTCCTCAAGTACTTCTTAAAAAATAGAAAAATGTATTCTTTTTTTAAATAACCGGGAACCTGATAATTAATTTTTATTTCAGAAACATCAGTAGTCGATATTTTGATTATATTGACCAGAAACAAAGCATGTAGATGTTTGTTCTCAAATTCCTTAAAACTTGTCCCAACGGTTTTCATTCTATACATTTTTTATTTCTTCGGCTTACTAAACCATGCACGCTCTTATCAAATACCCTGTATAATGAATCTGTATCTCACAAGATTTATCTTATTATACTTATTATGCAAAAAATGTTCGTTGATTCTGCAATGCACATGATTAATAGCCGTTTTGCATAACAAGAACACCACAATGTTCCTGGTTCCAAGAACGAATTTCTTCGTTTATCTTCATATTATTCACGCTCAGTTTCGAATTCGGAATCGTTCCGCTCTATTAACTTTTCAGTCGTGTTTCAGACACATTTTACTTGGTGGTATAGATAATAATGTAACAGCTTTGTACAGGGTGTTGGAGTTAATCTGATTAACGCAAAGTAGATTCCTATACATAGAGGGAATAGTTGATTTTTTTATAAACTGCAGTATTAATTGTGCCTTGTGCGACACTAAACAAGTCGTTTGTTAATTTTATATTAATCGTTAACATTTTTGGGGCATTTGTGTAATTATCGCCTTTCGTAAATTATCAATCTGTTTTGGGTGAGAATTCTGGGAAAATTGCGTGTGTTTAAAAAAGTCTGTAATAAAGAGAACGAACAAACAATAGAATAGAAGGAGAGTGCCGTACTCACTTAAAAACTATAGCATTGAGCAGCCCATTGTGTTTAAAGCAATGTTTAAAGCAAAGCCAATGTGTTTAAAGCATTTTCTAATTTCATAAATTGCAGAAACTCCATTTACAATTTCACTCTGTATAATTCAAATTCACATGCTAAAATGTTTCGCTTTTAATTGCGGTTTGTTTTAATTATGTTGTACAAAACATACTACTTTCCTTTTTGTATCTTAGTGAGCTCTGGGAAATACATTTTTTTCCTGTTGTAATCCCATTCATTCATTTCAGTATTTTTTTCATTTCAGATGTAAATTCGCAAATTTCAGTCGACGCCGACGGTCTGTATCAGCACCAAGTGCGGAATAAACTCCAGCAGACACTCACCGTTGGATCGTGTAAATTCGTAATAAATCCGTAAGAGAAAATTGAGACTGAGCATTTATTGCAGCCAAAATTTGAAATAATCGAAAATAATTTAATGGGAATTTCCAGGCAATGCCCCGACCCAGATGTAACGTTTTTCATGTATTCCACTTCGCATCCAGAAAGTCCAGAACAGATTTTTGCGTCCACTCATGTGCGTGGTACCAATCTGCATAAAACTGCGTTCAATTCCTCCAAACCCAGCAAAGTGATCATTCACGGGTACAATTCGAACATGTTTCTCAGCGCTCTGACCGAACTTAGAATAGGTGCGAAAACGTGCGAATAACGTGTGTGAAAAATGCTACTCTGAACTGTTTCTAGCATACTTAAAAACCAGCGATTACAACATATTTGCTGTGGATTGGAGTCCTCTAAACCAGTCGCCCTGCTATCCAGCAGCCGTTTGGAATGCTCGCCATGTTGGAACATGTACTGCTCAATTAGTCGATAGAATTAGGGATATGGGAGCTGTGGATATTCATGTAATTGGATTTAGTTTAGGTAAAAACAAAACTATTTCAAATTGCCTAATTAATTACTGTAAAATGTATGGTTTTGCTTCAGGAGCACATATAACAAACTTCATCTCGTTGGCACTTTTGCCCTACAGATTGCCGAGGATCACTGGACTGGACCCGGCGCTTCCAGGGTATTTATTTGCCAGTAATGACGAAAAACTGGATAAATCTGATGCAGAATTTGTGGATGTGTATCATACCAGCGCCTTCATGCAGGGTAAAGCGCAAGAGAGCGGACACATTGACTTCTACTTCAATGGAGGCTCTGTACAGCCAGGATGTTGGCAAGAAGAGAGTGAGCAATCCAAGAATACTCGCTTAGCAGGATGCCGAAAAAATAACGAATTTTGCTTCATATGTAGGTTTCTTGTCGTGCAATCACCATCGAGCTCCCATATACTATGCGGAATCCATCAATTCTCTGGCCGGCTTTTGGGGATACCGATGCACCAGCTACTTCGACTATTTGAGGCACAATTGCCCTCCAAACGAGATCGAAGTTCTTCTAGGCGAAAGAGTGAACAGATTCATTCAAGGAACATACATGGTACAACTGTTTTTGGCTACTAAATGGCCATTAAATAATTCACAACTTGCAGGTCATAACAGCAGCAGCATCCCCTTTTGCGATAGGGCCATATTTTACTGCTAAACTCCTCCAAAAAGTCCATAACTACCCGAGTGAAGATGCAGCCGCGCCGAATGGAGGCCCCAACCTGTTCGAGCTGGCCTTTCCCATTCCGACTGTGCCGATTCTCAATAGATTTAATCAACAAATAGTCAATCCATCCACAATGGAAGAGGACGAACTGTTCAAACAGGTTTTGATGGAAAAGTTCCCCAATAACAGTCTAGCTCAAGCGCAGATTATTGGAAACGATTTCGGGATTTTACGAGTCGGTAACAATTGACTGCCTAGCCATTCCTACGCGAATTAATTCTATTTTCCTAACATTTTTTTGATAAATACATGCATACGATGTGAGAAGTTTGCCGCTGTTCCTTTATATTATCCAACTTGATCCAATGATCGACTGGAGCCCCGAACGGTTGGAATCGAATTTCTATTCGGAATTTCCATATTGATCTAAGGATTAATTCAGATAGTCGCAAGGCGATTGGGAGGAATTAAATTTTATTTTCATCGTCAGCATTTAGAACCTCAATTTCATCAATTGCGCTGTAGAATATTCCCCTTGTGCGCGATGGAGTCGAATCGCCAATAGGAACCGAATCTCCTGCACATGGTTCTCTAGTGAAAACATCTCCTAAACTGGAGCACTTTCTAGCTAGGTAGGGATCCTTTTTCATTAGGGAATTGGCAAATATTTTCCAAGATCTTCCGTGACTACAAGCTTCCATAAACTAAAACCATCCACCCCCCTCGGATTGCATCTTAAATTTACAAACCCGCTTAACTCGAAAGGTTGCTTACCTTTAATACGCTGCATCCTGGCTGCGGAGGACCGCCTCCATTCGGGTAGAAGTCCGCATGTCCAATGGGTAGTTTGTACCCCAAAAAACCCGCACACGTGTGAATTACGTCCACAAAATCCGCGTCTGAGCTACTCAAAGTTCCTGAGGAAACCAGGCCAATGTCAAAGCCGGGCAACGCGGGGTCAAGGCCTAAAAATCGATAATTTAGATCGCAAACTTGTAAATACTGTTACGACGGGAATTTTTACCGGTAATCCTGCCTATTTTGCCGCTTTTTACTTCCCGGGCTGCAAAGCCTGAAATATGAGCCCCCAAACTGTGGCCTGCTAGGTGAATGTCTTCCGGATTCACTCCCAACTCTTCTACAAGGTAGTTGAGGTAAGCGCCGTAGTATTTTCCTATCTCCGGAGTTTTCATCATCGGGATCGGGTAGAAAACGTTGCCCGATATGGCGCTCCAATCTAACACCAACACATTGGCATCATATCTGTGGAGAAAATGGACAATTTTAGCTCAGTTTAACTTCGTTTTGAGGTAGCGCACTTGTGCAGGAATCCTTTTCTCATGCTGACGCTCGAATCTTTGCGCCCTCCCGACATCCATCCGTGGGTCACACATTTTGTGGGCTTTGATGCGTTTATCAATTTTCTCAGTTCACTTGGTGCTCCAATAGGGATACCTTCAGGGAAATCTCTGAAAAAAGCGCGATTTTGCTCCACCACAGTGGTGATTTCAAATGTAACTGCGACTTACCTGGAAAAATACTCGAATTTAACTTGATCCTCTAATTTTTCCTCTGGTGGAAACAGCAACTTGCTGTGGTTATCCATTTTTAAATACCCTATCAAAGTATCGCCGTCCTCATCGGAAAACAGCACAAAGTCCGTGCCAAAACCTGGATAGGCAACTTGCAACTCTTCTCTTGAGTAATCCTGAACAGCCGCAGTGAAAGTGAAACCGACTGCAAATTAATGTTAAAAAGGTTCTTGTTAAATAAAAAGAAAATTGTAATTCGATGTGGTTTTATTTGGGAAGTTATCATCACTTGCTAGATTGTAAACCTAAGTTCCTGTTAAACTAAAAAGTCTTTTACCAATTAAGAAGGCAACGAATACAATGTCAGGACAGATCATTGCAATTTACTATTAAGTACAGTTCTAACAACATAGTTAAAAGCAGCACAGCTTTATACTACAAAATATCGACGATAACCTACTAGTTCCAAATGTTAATTTTTTGCAGATATTCTATGCAAACTTATAAAATACATACTAACAATTTTACATAAATAATTCTGATTCGTATCTCTTTAATGGCAGAGGAAATACATTTAAACATCATAAAACTTTTTGCCTTGACCGTATTCAAAATGAATCCTTTTTAGGCGCTGATAAAAGCCCACTTTTCACAAACTCTACGAGATTAAAACAAATTTAATTTATGGGAGATTGGCATATTTAATTCAAAAAGTATATCATATATAACAAATACATATACACAATTAACACAGTGAGTAAGTCTACATTTAATTGGGTTTAAGTAATTTACAATCAACGTTCAGAAATCGACAACTGCATCCAATAAATAAAGGTATAGTGAAAACGCCACAAATATAATATATTTTAGAAAATTCGCACAAATGGAAAACAGAATCATCACAGCATAAATAATTATTGGACCAGAAGCAGTGTCCATGTTTGTTTTATCTACACTATCACTTTACACCAATAAATACTTCGATTCCGAAGAGCGACACATTAATAGCTTAAATAGTTAAATGTTCATACACCCGATAGGCTGACAAATTTAAACTCTCACATCAGCAACACTTGAGTTATATGATTTAACTTTGGAATGTTTAACAGCTCGTAAACTTTACATTTTATTTTAATGACTGTCCGCTAATCACGTATTTATTGCGTTCGCTTGTATTAAAATGCGGCTGCAGGGTTAATCTATGTATCACCATCACATCTATCGGAATTATCGCACGCTTAGTAGATCAAGTCCTTCGTTATTTTAGTAAACCGAGCCTAAAAGCAGAGAACCAACAAATACGTGCGGGCGTAAGACGTAGTAACAACAGCTTAAACGAGACTACCAATACTTTTTTACAATTTTACCTTACTGTTAATTGACTATCATGGTAATATTGCTAGCATAATTAATCCGTACTTTTGCCATCGCTTTAGGCCATTCCTGGATCCTCTAGAGCACCATCTTCTTCCAGTTTAGTGATCAGCTTAATCACCCGATGTCGTTCGTCTGTTTGTCTAGCCATATCGATTAATGCCAGCAGTTTCTTGATACCGATGAAAAGGCTGCAAAGTTACAAATTTAAAACCTACTCATCAACCAGTTGATTGTAAACATACCGTTTTCCGTGAACTTGATGTGTGATTTGCTTCAGTTCTGCATTTGTGAACACTTCTGATGCTTCCAGCACATTCAGGAGATGCTCAGCTTTGGATAAGTTGGGAACGTGAAGTACAGTGGTGAAGGCTGATAACATTTCCATGTCCTCCAACACTTGCCTATATACAATTCAATTACTTTTCTGACTATAGCAGGATGCCATTTTGAATAAGCTTTTTATTTTATTGATTTATTGATGAAAATGTTCAGTTTTCAGTTCAAAAAATGAAATTTACCTCCTGCTGCTCGTGCACAAGATCAACAGTTTCTTGCCCGGTGGCGGTTCCTTTTTTAATAGAACCAACAAAGCTTGGAGTGTTAAATTGGAATATCTTGGACCAATGGGGCCGTAATCGAGAAGTCTTTCAATATTGTCAACCAGAATGCAGCTTAACGTGGATCGGTAGGCGTCATCAAAAATCTATTCCAAAATTGAGATTCAGATGTGAAAAAGCTGTTTAATTAATTTATAACTACCTTTCTAATACTTAAACATTTTGCAGTCTCGGTGTAACCAACCATCTCTTCTGGTGTACAAACTTTGACAAAAGGAAAGTTGGAGTTTTTTGCTATTTGTGCAGCTAGGGCGGTTTTTCCTGCATTCGGCGGTCCTTCAATCAACACTGAGACCAAACCTATCGAAAAATAAACATCCATAATGGTGTTTTTGAGAGAATCGACTATGTATTTCTTACCTGAACCGTCTGTTTCTCTAGCTTGTTGCGCTAGAAGATTCCCATCTTCTAGAATATTAGTGACGGGTGAACCCCAGTTGATGATTCCGCGGAGAAGACACTGATTGAGGATTTCTTCCGCTGTTCCAAAAGCCTGTAAACCATATCCAGCCCTAGTAGCTGCTCATTTTTCAGGAGCGCTGAATACTTACGGGTTTTATATCATGTTTCAATGCATGTATGAAATCAGCATGAGTAACCAGTAATTTCTCCATTGCTTCAGGATCGACTTCTACCTTGCTGGCGGCTTTAATTAGTCGATTCATAGCAGTAGATTGAGCTGCTCGTACCAAACCTTCCAGCTCAGCGCCCGAGAAGTTCTTCGTCAGTGTTGCGAGTTCCTGCAAAAAAAACGAGTTGGAGTGGCTGTGGGTCATATAAATGGAAAATCTCACACTCAAATCCACATCGCTGCTGATTTTTTTATAGGACTTCATCCTAGCAGTATGAATGTCCAAAATTTGAACTCGTCCTTCTTCGTCTGGTAGACTGATCTCCACCTGCACTTCCAATCTACCCGGTCGCATCAGGGCTTCATCTATCATGTCCTTTCTATTGGTCATACCTATGGGAAATTGCATTTTTGATAGATGCAAAAATCAATTGAAATTGCAAGAAAATGCATACCAATAACCAGAATATTATTGAGCTGTTCCACACCATCGATTTTAGAAAGCAATTGATTAACAACAGTGTCGTGAACGCCAGTTGCTCCTGCAACTGATCCTCGCTGTTTGCAAATGGCATCGATTTCATCAAAGATGATAATGTGGAGGCCGCTATTGGGACCCGCCTAAGAAACCAAACTGAATTATATACTTATTTACAACCTGACTGATTTGAAGTGTTCCACTCATTGTGTCGAATAAATTTTTGGTTGACTCGCGCTTTGTGAGGCGGTGCTTGTGTCTTGCATCGCGAATTAAATAGAGTCGAACTAGCAGAATTGAATTTTCGCGCAGTGTAGCTGAATATTTGTCTTGTACATCCGCCAGCAAATGAACTGTTTCTCTAAATTCGCACCCGTTTTTCTTCTTCTTCGGCTTCAGCAAACAGTCTTCGGACATTCGCTTCTGATTCACCCACATATTTGTCCAAGATCTGAGGACCATTGACTATCTTAGGCTCCCTTGCATTCAGCATTTTTCCAATCTGTCTCGCCATTAAGGTTTTCCCCGTACCAGGAGGCCCGAACAACAATATACCTGAAATGAAATATAGCTCCAATAAATAAACCGAACAAATGAAGAAGATTTATGAATGTCTTCAGACCTTTCACGTGCTTGCACCCTAATTGCTCAACAATTTCCGGAGGGAAAACTCGGGAAGCAAACGCCCGTCTGAAGATCGCGTTGAACTCATTACTTAAGCCGCCAATGCCCATTTTCTGAAAGTCCCAATCCGGGTTAATGATCGATTGGCGCAACTGGAGCCTGAAAAGGGAAAAAATCAACCACAAAAATAAATCAGCCTCCTAACATACCCCTTAGACTTCCCCACTAGATTCAATGCTGATGTTTCGGCCTTTTCAAACTGAACCGTGGTGTTGGGCATTAACTGGCCTATTCTAGCCTTTTTCGGTTTCGCATCTCGGCCTTCTTTTAGAGCAACAATGTTTGCAACTGGAACCAAAATAATGCGGTTTCAGAGGGTTTGGGGGAATAGGGCCGGTCACTACTGACCTTCCAAATCCCTTACAACAGCAAGCAGCAACTTTTTGTCCTTAAATGAGAATGCAAGTTGCTGGCCAACAGTGAACACTTGATTCGGAAATGACATGACAAACTCCTTCGCCATTTCATCAGAATCATATGGTTCCTGGGATACACTGAAATGTACCATTCCAAAGTTACGAAAGTAATGGAGTGTTGCAACAAGTTCAAGTCACAAAATGAAAAACTGGATTTAACTACGACACACATACGTTTTCTTTTGCATGTAATCAACTTCCAGCACAATTGAAGACAAGTATTCTTCGGGCTGATAGGGCTCGACCCCAATTTCCTGGTTGAGTGAAAGCACGGCCCATTTTCGTTGGGGTAAACTGAATCCAACATGATAGCGGGGCACACTGGAGTGGGCTTTAATGGAGAACACGAATGTTTGCCCACCCCCAGTATTGATCCGGATATGTCTGAAATGTAAATGTTTCGTAAACGGCCACAATACGGCTCAAATGTCGATAGAACACACCTGACTCCTGGAAAATCGCTTTCGTTTGTGATGGCACAGTTCGTGAGGGACAGGTCATCTGTGGGGCACTTGGTCACTTTGAAGACAGCCTGAAAAGACACCCATTACATTCTGCAAAAGCTTTGAAAATAGAGACCAGAACTGACCATAACTGACCGAATCTGTGCTGGTAACAAGTTATTTTCACTGCACTGCGGTACAGAAAATCAATACACAACTTGAGGATCTTCTGACAGCTTCGAGTTGTTTAGTTTGAGGTGGTTTGAGGCACAGAAAATTTCCCGAAGGGATGTTCTGTGGTTTGAGGCGATCTCTGATTATGAGTTTAACCTGCGTTTGAGGTTTGGATGAGTTGAAACGCTTTGAGGTTTGGCATCAACAATGCAAAAACTTCATAACCAGAGCCTGGACATTTATTTAGGTCCTGTTTATTTTCACGGGTTTACGTGAGCACTCCCGGGGAATTTTTATATTGCCGATTGCCTAAAATCGGTTGCAAAAATTTAGTCATAACCTGTCTTCATCTATGGTGATCATAACCTTATCAGTATTGGTCTATGATTATGATCATAACCTAGCAATTATCTGCTGCATTGCAAATGACAGTTTAAGTTAAGATTATTTGCGGCTTTTTATACACGATGAATTGTAGGACGTTCTTGCAAATTAGGAGCCTCAGTTGCTGGTCAGCTGCTATTACGAGGCCCCATCGGTTAACATACACAAGGACTTATCCCACTGTTTTGGTACAGCCCGATGGTTCCACCTTCACTATTCGCCACTCAGAACCCAGGAAGATTATTAAGGTACAATTTTCCACTCTTTGATCTTCAGCAGTCTTCATTCCATTGAACACGATCTTATTTTGAAATCTAGATCAGAGTTTTCCAAGCTGTGTTCCGCTTAACCTAAACTAGTGTTCGGCGAACAAATTTGTTTGAAACATTACTCATAAAGAATGTGGTGACCATTTTTTAGGTTTTGAAATAAAGTTCAGTAAAAATCAACTTAAAACTTAACAAAAAGTTCCGTTAAAATATCTGGGGTGGCAGTGTTCCATTATCGAAAAGTTTTGGAAACCCTGCTTTAGAGACTGTTTTTGCGATAACAGATCAGATTTAGCAAGAAAAAAACTTTATATGGAAACTTCGGATGATATTACTTAGAAAAGTAGCTTAAGAGCCACTGCAGTCAGATGCTGTTGCTTTAGAAACAGGGTTTCACGAATTTAAAACCCTGACACCCTCAATCATATTGCTCTGCTCAAACAGTTTATTTTATTTACGCCGACTAGCAGTATTTGCGTGTCCAGTGGGCGTATATTTGAAGCGAATCATACCTTTTCACACATACCTTTTTCCTTCTTATCTAACAGTTTGTGTGCGATTGGTGAAAACGAGACCAACTGCAATCAATGGGTGATTAATCAGGGTATACTCCTGACCAATAGGAAATTTTGATTTTGCTTTGCTAAGGTGTTGCCATTTTGTAAGGCGTTTTCTAAGGAGCATGGAACCATGATACAATGAATACATATTCATTGTATCACTATCAAATTACGGAGATATAATAGTGCCGAAAATGGGACACCCTGTACTTATTTCTAAGACAGTTCAAAAAACCTGTATAGTTTATTACCGCCTGCGTTCTTTTCGATTAGTCCAAGACAAACGATACTGTTACGTAACCGTTCTGTTTGACGAATATTTTCGCGTGAAATATGATTCTGTTCATTTCCAGCTTCCACTCAATATATGGACGCTGAGTGAAGCAGAGCGAAAAGCAAGAGTGGAGAAAAGGAAACCAAAGAAAAAAGTCGTCATTGAAGATGATATCGAAGACTCGTTCGACGCAAGTAGCTACGTAAAGTATTTGAAAAAGTAAAACTGCAATGCAAAGGTAGTATGACTTTGCTAGATATTTGGATTAGAGTTAATATACAAGTTTTTGTTAGTAAAATTTGAACTCAGCCCAATAAGTCCTGGCCTAAAGCATTGAATTCCTCTCAGTCCCTTTTCATTTTAATCGGATGTGCCACTAACAAGTGCAGTATTTAAGAAGGAAAAATCAAACATCTATAAAAGTTTCATATAGTGATTATATTACAAAGTATTTACAAATTTCGGTCACTTGAGACCTTATCACCTAATCGTTGCACAAAATGTCTAGGTAAACCCGAATTGATCAAATGATCACTTGTATGTGTAGAAATATCAGGACTGTAATGCAGCACTGCCTGCCAGCAAAGCTCACTGAGATTGGGTATACACACCCAGGCTGAGTAAATCACATTGCTACGTTTCACTTCTTCATCCAGAGTATAAATGCCACCGAAAACGTACAAACGCCCTTCAGGAGTAACAGACACTGCATGAAAGTAAGTGGGACGCGGTAACCAACAGGTTTCAAAGTATGTCCATTGGAAAGTTTTCAAATTTAAACGCCACAAGTCTTGAAAAATGGTATCGCCGCCGATACCTCCAGTTATGAACACTTCAATTTGATTGTCGTGCTCAATCTGTGCGGCTCCATGACATCTCCTAGCCTTAGGCACTCCTGAAATACCAATATGATGTTCATTTTCCTTAATCATTTTTGTTTAGTTTGAAATACATTTCAAAAAGGAAATTATTAGTTTGAAGTCCGTCCCTCCTGGTTTCCCAAATCGACCACTTACCAAATTTGAGGGCGGGGATGGTCTTTTCCTTAGTCCATTGTCTCTTCTCAATATCAAAGGCTGGAACATGCCGAAATCCATACACATTGCTTGCTGTACCGCCAGCCAAAATATAGATTTTTCTCCCGTCGAACCCAACTTCGTGCCGGTAGCGGCCTGGTGGTTCATTTTCATCCGTTCCATTACACAAATGGACTGTTTCCCATACTAAGGTCTTCAAATTTAGCCTGTACAAAAATAGAAATTTAAAAAATAATCTGTTCCAAAATTGGCGTTAATCAGGCTGAAAAACTTGCGGAATGTACGATGTGTTCTTTATTACAAAGAAAATTATTATTTTTATGCGACAAGTGCTGTTTGCCGAAGTAAATATAGCAGTTAATTTATTCAAGAAGCCAATTTAGAACCCTGTTGAACTCAAAGAGGGAACTACAAAGCATACCTGTGAATATCGCATGTGTATGTGAATCCGGTGGTTCCACCAATAACGTAGAGATGATCGTTGTGATAGACAATGGCCTGTCCATAGCGAGGTAAGGGCAGTTGCCCCGATGTTTTTACCTCTACCATTGGACTAGAAGTTTCCTTTGTGTTGCAAATATACAGTTGGTTGCTGCATGTGGTTCCGAACGGAGATCCCGTCCCTCCATACACCTGTAGTTGAAAAAAGTTAGTGTGTTTTGGTAGAGGGCCCCGATGAATTGTTTATTAACACTAGCCTTCCAATGATTGCCTATTAGCAACGTGTTGATGAAATGCTTCAAAGATCCTTGACCGCAAGTATATTATATCAGAGATGCCCGAAACGAGTGTCTTGTAAAGGCCTTGACCCGGTGCCCCAATAAAATCAATTTTTGCGAAGAAACTTTCTTGGTGTATGCGATTGAAGGGCTCACCATTAGAATGTTGCGATGCAGAAAAACTGCATTGGACACCAGCTCTTTGGGCAGTGTTGCGCTGTTGTTAAACTTGGTCCATTCTCTGGATGCTAAATTAAACCTCCAAAGCTCTTGGAATAGCGGATACGAGTCAATATAGGAGTCGTCTTCATAGTGATACTCCTCGGGCAGAATGAGGGGGTTGTAGCCGCCGAAGCAGTAAAGATTTGCCGAATCAGCCCCAATGCGGTGGCCGCTGCGCGGATGCGGGACTTTGGTACTGTCCCCTGAAAACGCCACCTTCTCATAACAGAACGGCTTGAACGTGTACACTCCTGCAGCTTCCACACTTTCACTTTCACTATTCCCCATCTTCAGAATAGCCTGGACCACATTGATGATTCTTCTCAGGATCGCTGCAAATTGTTTGGAAAACATTCATTATCGTGTGCAGTCGAACGGGACTCGCGAATTATTAACATTACAGTTTTAGCTTGAAACCTTCCAGTTTCACAATCAGTCGTTAAATGAAGGTTATCTACAATTGCCCATTCAAAACAAACGAATCAATATGGCGCAATATTTAACTTCTTGTAACGTAGCCGGATTACCTTCACCCAATACGACGTTCGGTACCTGGTGGAAGCAGGTGCACTTTAAAGAAATGCAAATTTCATAAAAACATTTCAGGTCTGACAGTTTTGTTTTCGCATGTCAATTGTCAGTGGTAAGTCACATACATGATACAATGATTACAACGTAGGATATTAATCGGTCGAAAACTCGATTTTCGTGCGCATATGACGTCACTGGTTACCACTTTGGTAAAGTGAACAGCTGATCCCATTCAAAATGCATGTAACCTAGACAGATTTTCACTGGATTCAAAACGCAATAGTTCAAAAATGGAAAGTTATATGAGGATATTGTTGTATAGCTCAATGCTTTGAAAATCGCGCTTGGACCTGATTTGGGCTTATTGGGAAGAAAAATACTATAAATAATTCTATACAAAATCTCTGATTTTCAGCGTTTTAGCGTGCTGTGTTGTCAGAGTGTCATTTGAGAAATCGGGTTGAGCCAAACGAAATAATGAATTAATTGTATCACAATGAATGAATGCACGGTTCATACAATGAATTGATTGTATCATACAATGAATTCATTGTCGTACAATGAATTCATTGCAGCATGGGATCAATGCGTTTGGGCATGTTTGGGAATTTTGTAGACAAAACTGAGCATTTTGCGTTTGGTAGTTGGAAAGTGTACTCTAGATTGTTTGCTACTTTCAAGTGTCGGTTCAGAAATATAAAAATGCGGTGTGCAGTCATTTCATTTGTATTAAAATTTACATTTTATCCGCGGCACCACAAAACGCATATTCCGTCGTAAATAATAGGAAAGTAACATTGGGTCATTGTTTGGACTTCCGTCTCTTGAATCGTAATGTACTATTTCTGCAAGGGTACATTTTCAGCTAACGATATACTTTATTGCACAACTGGCAACTGTGCTAGTCTACAAAATAAATACATTTTTGTTACTTTTAATTTTCAACTCTAAAATCTGCTGCAAAGCATCTTTTAATTATAAGCAAGATTTATAAAAAAATAATTAAATGTGACAAAGACTAAATAAGCTATATTTAATCACATTTAGCAGACAGGAAAAGCACGCCCGGCAGTGATTTCCACTGACGTCATGCAAATCGACGCAAGATCCTATCTTGTATTCATTGTATCATGATGAATACTCATTCTCGAATATCTGAATACTCGTATTCATTGTATCATGAGTCACATATGCTTCAATTTCACTGTGTTCTGAAATTAGGTTTTTTTACTCTGAAATAGCGTTTAATGTATTCGTTCATAGCCTTTTTGTTCAGATACAGGCGAATGATCAAATGTGCGCACTTTTCTCTTATTGCTAATGGTCTAGAAATACCGGCCCTTGCGTTCGCGATTAACAATTCGCTCACCTTATAGAAAATCAGATTACAAACAACTTCCTTCTAGTAGATTTTTAGGGAAAATGGCATTTTCTGTCACTTTTCACTCACTGAATTTCACATAAGGTAGCAAATGCCGGCATGACGTCTCCGGTGTCAACGACCGAGAAGACGTGTAACTTCAAATAATTGACATGCCATGTTGTCGAGTGCTCTCGTAAAAAGTAGATATTTTAAATAGGAAAATTACATGTCTCCATTTGCAACAAACAAAACTAATTGCGAATTTTTAATTTATTTACATTGAAAAATAAAGATAGTTTTTAACGTAGTTGGCGTCCATGATGGCGTCCTTTGTTATCTTATGGAAAATTAGCAAATTTCAATGGGCAAAAATTTGTCGAAAACCGCATTTTCAATAAAAATACCACTAAGGAAACTGTTCAAATAAACAGCATAATTATCAGATGAACATAGAAATTTAGACATTAAATTATCTACCGTTTTTTATGTGAATTCACCGCGTTCGTAGTTTTTGAGCTGACAACGCTGGTTGTTAGGATTTCAAAATCATTCAAAACATCAACATTGAATTTTGAGCATATTTTGAGAGTATTTAAAGAGTAAGTCTATTCTCTCTAATTAGTGAGTGGTGTGAAGCACGATTTTCTGATATGGCCCATCTTCAATATATGGAGGAACTCATCAGGGAGTATTTAGTGTTCAGAGGATTTGCATCGTCATTAAAAACTTTCGATGCGGAATTGAAAACAGACAAAGAAAAAAGCTTTAGAGTTGATAAAATTATTGAACAACTAATGCAGTTCATTTCCAACTACGATCTGAACGGAATCCGGGAATTGTGGGCCCACTTTGATAATCACATCTTTAGCAAGTTGGAAAGCCATTTCATACCAAGTAAGTCAGGTTTTATGGTATAGATTATCAACATGCAACTAACTGCTGCAGGTGTTAAGAAGTTGGAAAATGCAGTTCTTAAGCTGTATGTCATAAATGCTGCCTCCAACAATAAGCCTGATAAGGTCATAGACTTCTTCTTGAAACTAACTCCAGAGCTGCAGAATCAGGCTGAATGGAAAGACTGGTTTGGTAGGTCGGTTCTTTAATTAGCCCTGCCTGTTTAAAGTGGCATGATTTGATTCAGTGCTCCCCTACATAAAAAATCCCGAAGAAAACCCCACGTTTGCCTATCACTGCTCCAAGCAGTTCCAAGATAGTCTGCTGGTGTCTTTGCACAACTTCTTAGCCTCAGTGTTCCAGGTAGAAGTTCCTACAGTTTAAGAAAGTGCGTGGGTATATAATCATCTTTCAGTACATGCCCATTCCAACCTTGGCACATTTCGAAGAAGATACCAATAAAATAGTGAAGCTAGAACAGCGAAATGAGTCCCTTAAGAATAGGCTGGCTTTGTTAATGGACCGAGCTCCCGAAGCGAACGTTGCCTCTTGCCAAGTGGAGCCTCCTGCTCATTTGCTGGACGACTTCTACATCATTGCCCAGGAAAATAATATCGGCGACAGTCAAGGAAAGAGTTTGAAGAACATCATTAGGAATATGGGCACTGGATCTAGCCCCGTAATGGGCAGGAAGGAGGGAGGATCGGGCATTAAGAAAATTAATTTGTCAATGACTAGAAACACTTGAACTGAACTGAGTTCAATTAAGGTACGTTAGTTCTTGTTCAATTTATTCCAGTGTGAAATTTTATAAATTGACTTGTTACCATAAGGTTAATAGTAAAATTGTGTGGTTTTATTATTTCAATATAATTTTTAAGTTTTTATTATTAACTAGTTTGAAGCCAAACGCAACAGATTTTCATAAAAATAACCTTCCTGTTATCTCCACCCTTTTCTACATCCATACAAAAGTCTGAGAAAAACTCAACAAAAATTGTAAAATTATATTTCTATATGCTCTGATATAAGTAGGTAATCTGTTGATGATCAATTGCAAGGAATGGTTTGTACATTTATTGCCTAATTGAACCGCATATCACATACATACATTTATCACACTCCATAAAAATATATTAAATCTCCATAAAATCTAAAGCTAGGCAAATTGAAATGTGAATACCCTGGCGCGGTATTCTTTAATACCATTCATATTACCCATAACAAAATATGTACACTTTAAAAAATATCACTTCGATCAATCTTAAATAGCCGATTTGTTAATCGCTTAATCCAAGTGAACTACATCGGCTCGAAATGGGCAAGCAAATATTGGTTTACATCTATTTCAAGTCGAAAATTTCGATGAGCAAAGGTTCAATCTGGGACGGATTAACGTCTAGCAAAACGTTGATCAGTTCTTCGTTCACTTTGTGCAATTCCATGATTTTTTGGATAAGTTTGAGAAATATTGACTTGGCTTCGCATCCTACGTAAATGCTCTCCAGGTAGCGGCGCAAAAGATAGTAGTAGGAATTCTAAAAAACAAGCCAGATAATTTTCACAAATTTTAAATTTTACTTGACTGCAGGATCATTTGCAGTCATCTCCAAAATTGTTACCTGTTCAAGTTTCACAACATCCTCATGTATAACTCTCGGTCGATCAGGTGTGAAGAGGACAATAGCGCATAGAATTAAAATAATATTTTCATCACTCCTCCATTTCGGGTCGAACGTCCTAATGAACCTTTCAAGTTCTTGATAGGCATTTCCTTTAGCCAGTTTCAGCACGTTTACATTCACATTTAGACTCTCCTGGATAGAGGGAATCTGGAAAGCCAATCGAATCACCTCAAGATCGATTACACGATCGAGTTACTACCTTCCAAGTGTTTTTTGTTGGGTCATACCGCCTGGCACTGATAATCATCATGATCTCAGTGCAACCGCCTTTCAGTAGAGCAACTTGGTCTTCTTGGCACATGTTCTTGAAAGCGTTAATTTTCTTAGCCATTTTTATAAGCCTTCTGATTCCTATTGCAGTCAGGTTAATCACATCTAGTAAAGCAGGATCTGTTTGTTGTTTACCTGCTTGGTTCTACAATAAATAAGTCTTCAAACTTATGAGAATATGTAAAATATGAGATTTGACTGACTTGTACCACATCTTTGAACTCATTGCCAATCAGGCTAAGCTCCTCTTCAACCGGTGTTAGTAGAGCTTTGTTCGCCAAGATCAGTTCATTAAGTTTAGCCTTTTCAGCCTCATTTAGCTCTCTGGAGTGCAAACTGTTTTGGGCTCGAGTGGAATACGCGTCATATTCGAGCTTAATGGCTTCGGATAGTATTGATTCGATTGGGTTGTTATTATGAGAGTTGAGTCTGAAAACGACGTCAGCATAAAAAACCAATTCTGGCCATAACTATGAAAGTTTATTAAATTTCATTAGAGTCAATTAATGTAGATCATTTGTGTAGATATTGAACACCTGCACATTTCTTGATACCAGATAACATTGTCGAGTTTGACCTTGCTAGATAACAGTGCCAAATGTACGCAAAAAGCAGCTTGGCAAACCAAAAAAAATAGGGCTCACCTTTCAACGTTTTTTATAACATCCGCTACATTTTCGCAAGGCACTTTCAAATCCGTACTAGGTGATGGGCAACTTTTCACCACATTGTCACTAAATTGGACTGAATTATTCAGAAAACTACCGAGTGCTGCGTGGTCGATTTGCATAAATCCATTGCTTCCTGAGCTGTTTGCCATATTATATAAATGCTGAGAAATAAGGTTTTGTAATGAAAACGCTTCATCACTTGAGGATACGATTTTCTCATTGGAAGACGTGACACTGTCTTCATTTATAGTCGTGTTGGCTTCCTGGGTGTTTGTAGTACTTTCTGTACTGGTTCCGATGGAGTAGTTAGGCTGATATCCCTCAGACACATTTGTGTCTTGATCAGAATCAGTGTTATATGAACTGTTATACAACTCACTGTCACTTTCGCCAGTGTCTTTCTTCCGCCTTTTGCTGGGAGATTCAGTTGAACTCTTTGTTCGTTTTTTCGCCCTGTTTTCCTCAATTTTCTGTCGTTTCTGTGCCTTGTCCTCCTCGGACATAATCAGGTCTTTGCACATTCCAATGGAGAAACACTTATCCAGTCTACATTTTTGACAAAATCTTCTAGTGACTGTAGTTATCTTGCAGTCATTGGTAAAGGGGCACTTGAACTCTTTTGGTATTAAGGCATTTCTGCGGAAAAACGCTTTGCAGCTTTCGCATGTTACAGCATTAAAGTTGTAGCCCAGAGCTTTATCACCACAAACTCCGCAGATTTTCAGATCCACTTTGCTTTTCATATTTAATATGGCACTGTCACACAATTCTAATACTGACAAGGAGTGCACGAATTTGATAACGAACACTCATGCTGAATTATTTTACACAACATTAATAAGATAACTGATTATTACTTATTGATAAATTATTTGTTTATGTTTTGTCATAATAAAGACTTTCGTCTAGCGGTAGCCTAGATATTTACTATTCGACGATCTTGGCAGCCTTGTCCTCGGTCAATGGCGGGCAGTTTGAAAATTTACATTTAGCGCCGTGTGTGTTTTGGTAAAACAAATTCAAGAAGCATCTTTCTTTGTCAGAAAGTTCTGCTTGGTTCAAAACCTAAAATGCAACCATCAGATTTTCTTTTTTCAGTCGTATACGAGGTATATCAGAAAATATTAATTTTGCTGAATTTTGTTTTTTTTTACATGTTTTTATTACATTACATTACTTTTCATATTTATAACCAAACTGAAAAGTAATCCGGAGTTCCAACGACTTTAAAGACGGCGCTGCATATGGTGCGAACTTAAGTAGACTCATACCGTATATACAAATTTAACTAAATACATACACTTATTTATTTTAAATTTTCGTTTCCTTTATTAGGTAAGCATTGCAGCAGACAAATTGGTACGGACTTTAAAACCTCTGTTACCAACACCCTATTTAGGAAACTTAATGGACTTTATTTAAATATGCTCATTCAATTTGTTTTCAAAACGTACTTCAGGGCGCTAAATGTAAATTTTCAAACTACGCGCCATTCAACACTATAAAAATTCCGGCATATATTATATCTGGGCTACCGCTAGACGCGAGTTCGTTTAACTGTCGCCTTGGCATTTGTATGCCATCTGAATGCTGGCAACATCGGTTTTGGTGGAATGAAGCGTAATTAATTTTGCTTTATAGTTATTTCTTACGAATTTATTAATGCATCTTAATTAATTTGAAAAAAATATTTTTGTTATTTTTTTGGATTAATACTTAATGTGGCTAATATCAGTAGTAACCACGCCCATTTGCTAAACCGTCACTTGTTCTTTAGGGGATGTGACAGTTTTGCGTACAAGTACTATATATCTGTAGCTGTATGTGCGTAATTCAGAAAACTTAATTTAAACTCCATATCAGTTCCTAGGGTGATACAGCGGCTGCTAGAGTATGAGGCTTATTGGTGAGTACTTTTAGAACTTATTTTATCCACAGGCAATGATTTTTAAGCGCGGGCGAGAATTACGGACTGGAAAACGCGTCTATCTATTTTTTCCAAAATAGAAGTAAAATAATCTTGCAGGCGTTTTACACAGCCCTCGAAGTCCTCCAAAGATAATCAAAAATGAAACAGCAAGGCCTATATAAGTGCAAAGAGGTTTAGAAGTTTTTAGGTCTGAATAACTGACATTTTCTGGTAACTTTTCGTCCGCTGTGTTGGTAGCTGTCAATGCCGCGTACATGTCTAAAGCAGGCCACGCACTGTTATTTTTCATCAGTTCCCATCCGCAAATTCGTAACGTCGTCCCGAACTTTGGCCGACTTAACTTACATCGCATAGATGGCACTACAGACTTCGGATCTTTTACCATTTTACCTTGTCTGTTTACGCATTCCCCCATTTTTAAGCCTGGACTCAAAGGCGGATCCAGGGGGGGGGTTATGGGGGTCATGATTTTTCAGCCCTTATGCTGGGTTTTTTAACGACTAACGAGAATTTTTCTAATTTCATGGACAACAAAAGACTGAATTTCTACCATTTGACCCCCCCCTGACTCGAAAGCTGGATCCGCCCCTGCCTGGACTCGCATTGCAACGGCCTAATTTAAAACATACCAAGGAAACTTTTTTGCTGTATTTCCGCTGGTGCAAATCCAAAGTTGATTTGCGGTAGGAATTTTTATTCCTACTGCCATTTTCACTAGGCATTGGGAAGAAATTGGACGTTTTCCTTAGTCAGTTATCTTACAATAATGAAACGTTTTTTCCAACCTTTTTCTATAGATATATTGTTATAGCAATGCAAATGGGCTAATGCCACTAGGAATGCTTAGGCCTTCCCTTTTCTGCGGGCATTTAAATGAAAGTCATCATGCTTTTTCCAATTTCTGCTCATTTTATATTTAGTTAAAAATTATGATTCCCTATAGTAAAAATGGGTATGTTCTACATGGTTTTTGACCAATTTTAGAATAATATTTTACTCGCTTTAGTCCTAGTCATAAACTAGTTTGTGAACCAATTAAATTGTTCCGATTTTTGCCAGAATTTTTACCGTTTTATTAAAAATTGGCGTATTATCGTGGCAAAAGTCGCATTAAGTGATAGTCATGCTTATTTTCGACATATCTCTTTAAGAAAATGATTATTTCTATTTTTCCATCACAACAAAAATTTAAAAAGATACCAAATTTAAAGATGCGCTTTAAAATCAATGCACACTATAGCGATCCGACCCAAGTGAATAATGTGCTGCTATCGATGTGAAAAGCAAATGCTGTTTTAAAAATCGATTGTTCTGATAATACTGAACAGGGTTTAACCGATTCAAGATTAAGTACTGTACCCTAAGTAGGAATATGAATAATTGTAAATTGTGCTGCTTCCGAAGGTTTCTAAATGTTCGGGATATTAGTCGAACGCCCTGTGCATATAAAGTGCAATTATATTATTTGGACTATACGCAACATGCTGATTAAACACAAATGTGGAAAAAATCGGATTGAAAATCTATGCGTCTGCATTATAGTTGAGCGTCCTACATTCCCAGTTGAATGCAAACATGCGAAAAATTAATTGCTTCCTATTATTTGCCACTCTAACTTTCCGTTGGTCTGTGGGTGAAAATAGACTCTATCATCTTGACGGTGTAGAGCTTTTCCATCGAGTGAGTGATAAGTTTTTGAGCATTTCTGTCGATCCTGCTGTACTACTAGCAGGCGTTAAGTTAAGGTATGTATGCAGTTTGTGATGTTTCTGTACGACTTACGGCTTAACGGCTATTATTTAAATTTCAGTGATGATTCGCTTAAACTTGTCAGAAACTTAAGCCCGGCTTATATTAGACTAGCCGGACCTTCGACGCGATTTGTAAAATATCTTGACAAAAAGGAACAAACGTTTTCATTTAAAGACAAATATCACAATATCTACGTAACACCCTCAATGTGGTTTGGCATTAACGAATGGTTCCGATTAGCTAAGCTTAGTCCGGTTTTTGCAATATACGATGCGAACTCTTCAGAAGGAGTTTGGAACCCTAACTCAACGCTACCGCTTTTGGAATTTTCTGATAAACTAGACATCCAGTGCTACTGGCAGTTGGGCAATGGTAATAAAGTGTTAATACGTTCCGCCTTTTGGCATTTAATTGAAATTCACCACCAGATTGTGACAACAAAACTTTGGTTGAATACGTGGATAAAATTCACATATTGAGGCAAACTTTGAATGGGTTTCCTGATCACATAAACAACTGGAAAATCGTGGGTAGTGACTTGAGCAAATGCAACTTTGACGAGACAGATAGCTCTTCAAACGGAAAACTGTTGGATGATTTGGACATTACTGTTACTGCAATCACCTGGCAATCGTATAATGTTGCAACAGCTAGAATGTTTTTAATATGTATCAAATTGTTTCTTTTAGACCTTTTATTGATAAAGTGGACCTGGGACTCACGAAAGCAGACCTGTGGACGAGCGTGCCTAAGGAAACTGGGCCAGTAACATTTGATTCAGCGATCCAGTGGGCCATTGAAGTGGGCCAAGCTGCATTGTTGGGAAATAGTGTGATTTTTAAGGAGCTCAGATTGCTAGAACTCACCCATGACACTCCAGTAAACACATTTTTTTTTCTTTGTACAAATTGACAATTTCCTTTCTTTAACCAGGTGTATTGGTTTTCTGTTCTACATAAGCGGCTGATGGGCTTCGAGGTACTCAGCGTGGGAGCTAAAATAAAAAAAAAAGATCTACTAGTTTACAGCCACTGCGCTAGAAACCAAAACGGCGACATTTCGCTATTCATGGTGAATAATGGCTCCGAATCCACATCGATCAAACTTCGACTGGAAAATTATCAGTCAGATGTAGTAACGGAAGTACATTCTTACTTTTTGCAGGCCGCAGACGATGCTTCCCTGTAAAACACCATTAGGTGTTCTTTATAGAATTCGACTAACCCTTGCCTTTTTAGGGGAGTGCTATTAAATAATAGAACTTTGACTGCTGATATGCTTGAAAAGCCCGATGATGTTCTACGGCCAATATTAAGAAGAGCTAACGTTAGGCCGTTTCTGACTTTTAAAGTTCCTGGTAGGGCGATAGCCTTCTTTGTTCTTACACGGGTGCAATACGCAAAATGCAGTAACAGCCATTACAGCGAAGAAGAAGTTACTTCCGTTCTGGAAGAAGTTGAAAATGTCCAGAAGAAAAGTGCGTTTTTAAAGTTTGAACCAAGGATAGGGAATTTGGTTTCTCGGAGTCATTTTGCGGTAGGGGTTGTTTCTGTACTCTTGAATTCCTATTAGCGAACTGTTTTGATCTGATCTTAGAGCAAAAACACTCTGGAAGCTATTCGAGATAATATCTTAAAGGAGGCAGAAGTGGATAAGTTATATTATGATTCAAATAACGAAAATTTACATCCTAAGCCCAGCCTCGTAGGAAAAGCTGATGGTAAGCCTAGGGCACTTTACAAACATCTGGATAAGTTCATTGAGCAATCAAAGAATCACAATATCAAATCAGGTAAACCGTCGCGTGCGGCCACATCGGGACTTAACAGTTGTTTCTTTTAGAACTTAAACGAAACAGCAAAGACCATTTGCACCTATCAATAGGGGAAATAGAAAACATTTTAAAACAGCGAGCGCGTGCCAAAGCAGCGGCTAGAAACATTCGTCTCACTAGCGCAGAATTGGACATGTTAGTTGAGAAAGCCACATTGAAAATTCCAAAATACTTTGTATCAAAACGCGATATAAACAGAGCCTTGCTAGAGGAAAACGCACAAGGTTACCAGAACAATATGCATAATGAACATTTTAATGACGATAAACAATATGAAATTAAAAGGATGATGAGAAACATTAATATGCCACTATTAAATTTGAAGTCCTTGCAAGAGGAACACAAGAAATATTTGTTTGACACTCGAAAGCCTCAAGCTCAGAAGGCGAAGCGGGATATCAATCTGGATTTGGTGAAACAACGAACCCAGGTTGGTTCGAAAAGGACGTTATCACTGCCCAAGTTTATGAGTCAAAACTATGCCCAGGAAAGTAAGGGCGTTAGCAAAAATGCTCCTGTAAAAGTCGTTGGTACGTTAAATGGATTATCTTCTCTGAATTTGGGGTTTTAACCTTTTAACCTTTAAACCGCGTATTAACCTAAGCCAATTATTGTTGTCGTTTAGCTCAATCCAGTGAAGATTTATTTGATGATCTAATGCAATTTGAAGACCGAACGTTTGAAGATTCACTGGCCGAACAAGAATCGTTTCCAGACTTGAGTGACTCAAACGATGAAGAAACTAAACATTATTTTATCTCCAAAAAAGCGAACAATGCAAAAGTGTTTGCTAAGCCCCAGTATCCTAAACTAGTATCAATGACTAATAAACCTAAAAAATCTTTACCAGTTCTAAAGCCCTCCACAGAAATGGGACTGCTGGACGACGAATGGTTTTGCGTAAGTATGTTCATGTGAAAAGACGCTGTCTTTGATGTCCAAGTGTTTTTAGGATGGGTTCAGGTTTTCCGAAGAATTGAGTGATAGTTTTAGAAGGAAGAAACGCAAAACATCAACGGAGGCGATTACCAAAGATAAGTTGAAAAACTTGAAAACGACTACCAGGAATGAAATAAAGAAATTGAAGCAACAGTTGAAGCTGGAGAAAACAAGCTATCTAAGACAGAAATTGAAAAGTAAGAAACATTTGGCGTCGAAATCGAATATTCAAAAAGTGCCTAAACACAACGTGAGACAACTGATCGAGAATGCTGTTAGCGCAGAAAACGCAATCGACCACAAGCAGAAACGATCATTGAACGCAAACGGTATAAGTTTTGGAAAGTACAAATCAAAAGTCTCGGAGCTGGAAGATTGGAAACCTGCGGACATTTTAGGCTTAAAGCAAGAAGATATTCCTTCTCCGGTGCAAGGAAGGAAGAGAAGCGACTTTGCGGAAACCAGACAAAAACGTTACATCGATGATCAGTTGGAGAACGTGAGTGATAATAAAATTTTCGACGACGACCAGGAATGGAAGCACGACCGGGAAGATCGAGTAAAATTGTTTAATTATGAAAATGCGAAATGGAAGAAAGGAACTCCAAGGAAGCTGCTGAAAAACTGGAATACTCAGAGAAAAGAATTGGACACGTCTAATAACAACACCGAGTTTGATGCTAGAGTGACTTCAGAAGATCAAATACGGCGAGTGGAAACCAATCAATTGAATAACCTGATTTCAAAAGCTGCTCCTGATCTGTATGAGGATCAGGAAATAACAACTAAAATACCGTACATAGAATCAGCAACTACTAAACACATTATGAGGTCGAACTTGACTTACCTGGAAAGAGTTTTGGGTAAAAATAAAGCAATTCCAATCGATATGTTCTTTAAAAACATCAAATCTGCTTTTGAGGGAGTGAAGGACTTTGTGCGAAATATTGTTTAGCAGTTTATGTTAATAAAGAAATAGAATTCCATGTCAAAACCTGGTTTGGTTTTTGTTTCAATTTTCCGCGCCTAATTTTTTCTGTAAATGAACTCTCGGCCTTATGTAATGGTTTGTTTGGAGCAGGAAAATAAAAGTTGATTAAACTGTAATATTTTTATTAAGACCTTCTTTTTACAATAACGTTGTAGGTGTTTACAACTAACAACAATCAAGTCTGTTGACTAAGACTTATATTTATTATATAACAACGTGAACAGCCCTTAACTATTAAAGGTACTCAGCATCTACAAAACGTGTTCCTTGTTTCTTTTTCAGCTGGGGAAACACTGTTACTGGTTAATGAATGTATAGATACGAAAAACAACTATACGATCTCGAGCATTACCTGTTCTCAGTTTAGTTTGCAATTGCGAATTCGGAGTCTCCCCAAAATTGTTCCCGGGAAATGCGCTTGAGCCTGGGGATGATAGACAAAGAAAAATTTAATTTGGAAAAGTAGTTAAAACAGACGCTGCTCGAAATCCGATTCAACAACAATATCTACATTACAATGTAATTTGCGAATATCATTTTCATGATTATAACAATACAACATTGATTAGTTCAATAACAATTTTCACATGGGTTTTCTTTGTCACGAAATTATCTCTACTTTTTGGGATTACACGTAGTTTAGTGAAGCAGAAGCCTAGCAAGTCACTATTGAGAACAATCTGTGGGTAATCAACAGTGACTTTGGAGAATCGGAGTCACAAATGACACCGAGAAGTGAAGAACTAACAGTTATAGAACTAGAGTATGAAATTACAGCTTATTAGAGTTAACTACATATGTGTCGTTGTCTCTAGAATATTAGCTAGTGCGCCTACAACTGGTTTTGGTTTAAGAAACTGTCTTCGGCGTTACGGATCATACAACATCGAAATTTCCCGCATTTAAATAATATGCCCTCGCTATTTCTATACTTACTAACAATAAATGGATTCTATATACTCCTACTAGAAAAAGTGATCTCGTATAATGGTTGTACGTGTGCTAGTACGTCACACTACGGGATTATCGACTAATGTATGGGTAATAAAAGTTCTACTTACAATATATCACACACCTGGTTTAGGTAAATCTACGCATTGCTTTTAATTTCTTTGTCATAAGATAAGGAAGGAGAACGCTGGACAGCCCACCAATTTGGAAATCAACATTTTCGTTAATATGAATAGTATTTTAATAAATACACAGGCTTTTTAGTTTTTAACGACTGGTTCTATGCGTTGTTTATTGTGTTTCAGCAACTTTTTTTTTCGATTTCGAATGTTTTTCTTTTACAAGGGTTTTATCCACAGTCATTCAGAACTGCATTTGTTACAGGTGCTGATTGGGCGTGCCATTGGAGAGGTTGTCCGCGACTTTGAAAGAGAATTTAGGAACATTCACATTTGCCAGGATTTTCGGGACGTACTACACTTGCTTCGAATCGCAATCCAGGTACGTTGTTGTTTTAATTTGCAATTTGGGATTAGAATTCGAACTGCATGTGTTCCGACCACCATATAAATTCGGTTTTACAAGTGGAATACCAGAAAGAATAATGGATATTTAATGTTAAGCAAGGTGGGTGCAGGCTATGCGAGCGTTGTTGAGCAAGATTGAATTAAATCCAAATATAACGTAACATAGGATGGTTTTGAAGATTTGGTCAATGTGAAAGCAGTAAAGACAGTTGAATAGGCAATTAGTCTGGGCCCACTTTTAAATCCATGAATTGATTAACCGAAGTGGGAGGCATGGAACAATTTGACTAGGTTCCTAGTAGTGATGAGAAGAATCGAATTTAATTATTTGCAATTGGCATGGAAGATCCGGGCTTTATTTGATTGAGCTGTAATTGGTTGCACTGTTCTGACGGCAGTGACAAAAAATTGCAATTGATTCATTCAATGCGCAGTAGGTTTTATTCACTTTTTCAATCGCACTATGATGCTATTTAATTGGATTGAATAACTCGAATGTCCAATCGATCGATTATTCAATGCGCGATATCACTAACACCTCATGTATTAAACCAATATGATTATTCCCATCACCAGTTCCGAGCCCAGACCGATATCTGAACACTTTACACCTTAGATTCTGCCAAATCATATTATTGATTAGAGTAGAACAATAGAACAAGCTTTTTAAAGACCTACACAATTCTTGATGCGTTTTATCAAGAATGGCACGTCGAATGCAATGTTGCACCGTTCTCGTATCCAGTATCCAGACATTTAGGTAAATATAAAAGTATTTACTATATCAGGTCTCAGCTAAACTTTACCCTGTGCCGACAGATCGCAGTTTTAGGTAAAACTGTGCAACCGTGCAATCGATGCACGTCTTGCAAAGGCATCAAGTATGCTTTAAGAACTAGTACAATTGCATTGATTTGCATTACGTTAGTGATTATATACGTCTCGAATAAATTATTTCCTAATAGGTAGTGTATAGTGTTTGGGCTGCTTAGGACCTGCATCGTTTAAGGAGTACCGAAATAGTTTCATTTGACAAAACCCTTAAACAATCCCCTAAAGTATATTTTCACGTTGATTTCACCCAAATTCCACGTTTTGTGTTGCGTATCTTCATATACAGAGTGTCCCAACGTCATGGCATGTTCGAATATCGTTCAATCGAACTAACTGGATTGATATTGCAACACGCCATTAAGTTGAGACGTTGCTAATATCGGTGCTAAACCGATAATTGCCTTGTTTGTTTGAACTGTTTGAGTCAGCAACGACACTTCAAACGTACAGTACGTTACAGCCTATCAGCTACTACAATTTGCATAGTTAGAGATATATATTAGAGTCTACATGCTGTAAGGAAAGAAGTATGTAGTTGATACTGTGTCTTTGCACCCAGTTAAGCTTTATGCGTAAGCTCAACTGGGGACAGCTAGATAAGTGAGAAATTACACGGTCATACATTGCAGAACAAATCAGCATTGGCTAACCAATCGGCCTAAGTGTTTGCTTGGATATATTTTCAGTATTTCGCAAAAAATCGTCATCGTCTGCAATGTCTTAGAAGGATAAGTGTAACTGCAAGTTTTTGGGCAGATATAGTTAGATATACAGATATAGTTCAAGATGCAAAGTTGGGAAACAAAACAGATTAAAAAATTTAAGACACTCATTTCTGCATAACAGTTTACATGTTGCGGTTATAGGTTGCAGTTACAGGTCCAGGTAACATGCGTATTTTGTATTTTGCGTAAAATTGTTCATAAAACGCCCACAATGCAGCAAACACTTGAATTTAACATCTCTGCTTCTGAAAGTACAACCTGTAAATGAACTCGTAGAAGGTACCCTATGTAATCTTAACATTAAAAGATTATTTTTGAAAAGGGACAATGTTAGGCAGATTTACATGTTTAGAAAATGTTCAAGTATTATAATTAAATTTTCACTTCAGTCTGAAAGCCTTGGTATAAAAATAAATTATTTAATTGCGATTCGTTCAGAGGTAATTTTTTGCACCGTTGGTACGCATTGATTTGTCAGAGAAATTTGAAAGAAGCTATCTGAGGTTTTCCCAACTTAGTGCAGTTGCAGATTTTTGGTCAATTGCAATTGCCACTAAAAATACTCTGACAAATAATGAGAGTAAAAATAAAAATAGGTTCCTGGAGCCTGGAAATCGGCACTGAAATTTTTTACGATTTTCCACGATCCACGACGTTGCGAAACCGTCTTAAACTTACTTTTGAAACGCTCAAAGTATAATTATATGGCGTTTTAAGGGTAATTTTGTACACCAACAGCTATCAACATCACGTTTAGCCGCAATTGCAACTATACCAAAGTGAATTTTTCAAATAACTCATACAGTTACCTTTAGAAATAACCAGACATTCTTAATACAAAATGGAAGAAAAATGGCTTCATTTTCTCAGTACGTAACTCCTAAAAAATATTTACAAGTTACATTTATTATTGTCTTAAAAATTATTTTGTTATTTACAAATATAGCCGCTTTTCCGTGCCGGCAGTCAAGAAAGGATTTTTATAGAGAAGAGCATCGAGTTGAAAAAATAGCTAAACTGATGGCGAAAGATTTGCGCCCAACGGTGATAAAAAAATGACCTCCAGTTTGAGTTTCACAAGGTTTCAAGATAGCTAGATTTTTGTTGCTGTGTTTTCTACGTTTGATCAATGCGTGTTGTAGGAATCTGGTTGATTGGTCGTTTCTGGATATGATACTGTTTCTGTCAACAAAGCGACCAATTAGCCACTATGCATCGGGCTAAATTTTTGCGTGCAGCTTCCAGGTCATGTTTTTAAATGGCATTAATGCATAGTAACTGATTGCTAACGGAATGGCGCGTGTGTTGTAAGAGAGAAAGAGAAAGCAACAACAATAAACACGGCACAATAATTATTAGTCGGCGACTCATGCTTCAACTTATTACACGTCGAAAGCAAAAAAGTAATTTTCCTAAGAAAAGTAATTGTTTTCAGGCAATTGCTGATTCAGTTTCGTGGTTTATTTGCTTATAAAACACCCCGACGAATGGGAAAAGTTAACATTTTACAGGACCGTCAATTATTGGCCATGATCGAAATTTTCAAAACCCTAATTGCATTAGTGACAGAGCAATTTGCACTCAACCATGGGCAAAGTGTCCTCGTAAAATTAGCTTAATCCCATTTCGTTTTCGACAAATTGTTGATGGAATGTTCGCTTTGAACTTTATTTCAACAGGCCTAATACTGAATTTAAAAAGCTCGTTTTTTTGTCAATCGAAATCGTTCAAAACTATGCAGAGAATTCGAAAAACTGCAGAATGCTGATGTTAAGTTTTTGCAAAATCGTTTTGTACAATAAGGGTTATAACACCGATATTTATTACATTTGCAAAGTTTTTAATACAAAATATTTCTCACGTCTCAACAGCAGTGAAAAACACACACTATTTGATATATGAAGATTGCGCTAAAGCTTTCGACTGTATGGATTTGAACGTTTGCGAAATAGCTATTTCGATTGACAATTAAACCGGCATAATCCACCATTTAGGGAATTTGGATGAGCAATCTTGGTGTGAGTTCGAGCAAATGTGTGTGCTTGAAAGTTTTTTGTTTGAGAAAAAAGGCAGAGTTGTTCGAAGCGTCTCTCAATCATTCATTCGTTCTTTTAAAAAAATACCCGAAACCGAAACTTTTCCTTCTACGTAGGTATTGTTATTACTTTGGCGATACAAAAAAATACACGTTTAACTATATTTTTATCTACCTAGAAAAATGGTAACAACAATTAATAATTCTAGGACAAAAGTATTATGACAACCTGCGCTCATCATAATAATTTTGTTACTTTGTTAATTGTTTATCGCAGTCTCTTTTTTGGGGGGAGGGGCAATATATCTGTGCAACCACAAAATATTATACAGCAAAAAACATTAACCAACGCAAGGGTTGATGCGACGTGACGCTGATAAGGGTTGCAGGGATTCGCTTTTCTACCCCCATAACGCCTCGGAACCCTTTTCATCGACTATGTCGAGTACATTATTTGACCATAAGTAAATCACATCACAGGTGTTACGACTACTAACTAAATTAACAAATTATTATTTTTTTATAGTCTAATGGTGGTGGTTTGCCCGCAGGGGCCCGCAGTATGTGTCGGTATGGGTGTCTCCTTATTCATTGCATTACGCATTTACTTTCGAGTTGAGACCTGAGCTCATTAACGCTCGTTTCTATTGTGTTCTTGAGTTCTGAAAAACGGACACACATTTCATTGCATTCGAGTGTTGACGGAAGCCATGCACAACCCTGTTCAGATTCTCTCATAAATTTTGCATTTTCCAACCACCGAAATCGGCCATCTTCAGCCTCAAGGAGCTTCATTGTTTTTCCAAATTTTTTGTAATTTTTCCACAAATATTCTCTCAGAAGTCTATGAAATTGAGCCTCAGATTTTTGGGGTATTTTCAAAGATCGACCATATAGGGGTGGCCAACTTTTCTATTTAAAAGATGAACTTTTTATGTTGAAAGTATGCCGATGTCGAAATGCGTATGTTTATACACTGTGTTTCAGTAAAATATGCATTCCAGCAAAGTAGATGAGTAAAATACTTGTTCAAAACAATGTTTTAAATAACTTTTGATAGCAATATTTTGAACATGCGAGTATCTAAAAATTTCGATTTTTTGGCACTTTTTCCGCAAAGATTTTTACTATCTGAGAATGCAGTTTAATTTTGTTATCAATTGCAGTGTACAACTTGTTGTTGAACTGTTTGTTCATAAATATAATATTTTTAATAAAAATCCAAAAGTCCCAATGTTAACAGTTTCCGAGGTATAAAGTCTCAAAGTGTATATAAAATGTTCATTTTCTTTAAACACTCTTAACCAGTTGTAGAATATTACCAAAAAAATATATGCTTGGGTGTTTTTCTAGAGAAATCGAGAAATTAAAAAAATTTTAATACTTTGCTTTAATGTGATAGTGGAAGTAAAAATATTTATTTTAGCACTTACCTGACACAAATTTGATCAGTTTATCATTAATGGTGCGCTTTAAAAATGTCAATTTGCGATAATATTGAGTTGGTTCAAAAAGTCAATAGAGGTTTCAATACAAATTATATCGACTTGAACCAAGTACACATTTTTTATTGAGTATAAATTCAAATTTTGTTCAAGAACTATCAGGGAATGATGTATTTCCAAGTAAGAAGCGATTTTTGTAAAACCCAAAAAATGTTGATCCTTTTTTCCGAATTTCCGATTCCTCGAGTTAAAAAACCCCCAAACAAAAAACGTTTTGTTAGTAAAATATATATTTTTAGTAAAACTGGTTAAGAATGTATTTAAAAAAACACGCGGTACCTCGGAAACTATAAACTAGGCCTGGGTAACACTGTGTTGAGTTGCCGCCAAGTTATAACTCATTAACTCAGTCGCAACTTTTAATAACTCGCAAAGCTTTAATAAATGAGTAATAAATAATTTATTAAAGCAGATTAATGCTTTAAGTCTGAGACTGGAATATAATGTCTTTAAGACTTAAAAAAAAAATCTACAATATTTTTTATGAGAAACCTTTGACCATTTTGTCCGAGCAAATAAAAAAAAGCCATCAAAATTGTTTATAAGTAACGTTTTACCACGTTGTCCAAAAAATATTTTTTTATAAGTAACGTTTCTCCAGCAACGAAACTAAGTTACTGCGTTGGTGCACCAAATTATTTGCGGAACACTGCGCCATCTCCTAAAAATTAACTGAGTTACCCAGGCCTTACTATAAACTTTCGAATAAGAGAAATTTTCCTAGAACTCAATATTTTTGCGTTAATTTTGACACATTACTACCATCTTCGTAAAAAATCAACCTCAATAATTATTTAAAGTGCCGAAAAGGGGAATTAAAGAACATTGATTAATATATTTGTTAATTAAAAGTTTAAAGTAGCTACAGCATATTTAAAATTTATTTTGTTGTCTTAACATTAATCGGAAGATTGGCTTTACATGTTTCTAACCAAGGAATCAAAATACATTTCACACTTGACGCTTTTTTGTAGGAAATTTTTCAAGTTCCTGGAATCTTGGGAGCCAGCTATCGACTGGTTGACCACCCCTGATTAAATAATTAGGACTGTTTGATTTCGTTTGATTGATTAACTGTTTGATTTAGTGACACTTTAGAACGAGCTAAACTCCACCTTATGTTCAACGTATGCTGAACAGGGGCATTTATTCTTTTTTGTACCACGGCTTTATTGAAACGCACTTAAAAACATTTTTTTTTATGTCGAAATAGTTTGGTTCATCGTAATCCATCTTTGGGAAAACAATGTGATACATGCGGGCATCCTGGCAGATAGAGCGACAAGAGTTCATGCTGGACTAAGTGCATTCTACATGTACAGAATGTGTTACTTTGTGTTTTTAAGAGTACATTTTCTGTACAAATCCTGTGTGAATAGCAAGCCTGCAACTACGGTACTTACCTATTGGGAAACGGAAATTTATCGGCAAACAGAAGCCGTTTATTAACAAAAACAAGCGGAAATATTACAGTGACTGTGAAGAAGTGTTAAGTAAGTGTGAAAACTTGGAATTTGAGTCTCGTTTTTTCTTCGTCGGGACAGTTAAGTGAGAGGCAGATATAAAAATCAGTCTTATCTTGCCTGGATATTTAAACCTGAGGTAATTTGCCGTAGCAGCGCTTGTAAACTTCTGTTTTCAATTGAGACACTGTAGGTATCTTTGCATACGGTTTGCTTTAATGAGCTTTTTCATGGGTGAAAAGCCCGTTTTTATGTCGGTTTCAGTTCATATGCAATATTTAAAATCTCAAAGTTTCATTATTTCGGAAAACGCGGTCATGTTTTCCAAAACCACGATACAGGGTGTTGTTTAATACACACGAAGAACTCGGAGACTTGAGTGACCATTACGGAGCTATTCATACAATCCTGTTTTTCATGTGTTCCAATATTGTTTTAAAAAACTTAGAAGTGGACAACATTCGGATATAAGTTTATTTGAGTAGCTAAAGTTTTGTACCAAAATACCTCCTCTTATAGTTCTTCGCATGCAATATAAACCCTGTTCTGATTTTGCGAAATAAACTAGTCCGTGCAAGCAAGAAAAGCAATTTTGGCAATACTGTGAACACGCAAAAAGCCCTTAAACACTAGACGTTTGAGCTTGTAAGACAGCCAGTACCTTCAGTCGTTAAGCGATCAAGTAATATTATATATTAGATGTCTGAATTGTATCTACAATCCGTGAAACTTAACAATATTAAAGTTCCGGAAGACGGCGACTGATAGAGGACTTGCTTGACTACTTCAGTCTTAAGTGGAAATTTGTTTTCGATTTTCATCTAATTTTACTAAACAACAATCCCCTATCAGCCGTAAAGGTTGCCAGTCCTCCATCAATAATTAGGAGTATAAAGCTAATAACATTATATTATTGAACGTGACATATAGACGTTAAAGGTAAAACGGGTCGTTTTTGGTCAAAAGGGGGCTAACATTGATTGTCGAGGGTCCAGTCTCTATATTCGTTGGATACACATTTAAGGGGTTTAACGCTTAAAATCGACACAACATTTATTATTTAATAACATTTTTTACATTAGTTAAGTCGAAGAAACAACTGTATAACTTGATAAAATCCACGATGAAGTTCAAAACAGTTTCTAATCAAACGGTGCAAAAAGTAACTGATAATAATAACAAGTAAACACAACCGGTGACTATAATAATCAAAGAAAAACAAAACAGTAAGCATCAACTAGCAAACAGAGTCTATTCGGAGCAAAGCGTGAACGAAATCAAATTAAGTGAAATTTTGAGCACCCTGTAACGAGACGAGCTTCTACAACAAGCAGCTTTTCGAGTCATTCAAATAATTGTGCACCGTTTTTGAATTCGCCTAAGGGCCGCTACGCACTCACTTGTAAGTTCGTCCTCATCCTCCGCCTCTGCCTCCCGAGCCAACTCTTCGGGCGTCTTTTTCTTCCGCATCAACGGATTGGGCTCTTCTTGGATAGGGTCTACTACTTCTTCTTTTTTCTTTATATTGTACTGGAAACAGAAAAAACTAACTTTAGATTTCAGCTGATACTATTTTTCCGATTTCATGGCTGTGTGATGCAATGAGGATTTTTCGTCGATTTCTTCTAAAGGATTTGTTGAACTCCCTCAAAGGGAGTCAACCTGACTCCGTTAGGGAGTCGCTATAAATTAACGGACTCCCTACTAGAGTCAATTTGACCCCGATTAAGATCTGCATCTTATGTCGGCCTCCTTTCTCTGTGAATCGTTTCTTCTTTTGAGTAAAATTGGGAGTTTTGACGATTTTACTACTCCACGTTATTTCCGGAACACTTTGGTTTCTACCTATTTATTAAGCATTTTTGCATTCGAGATTTCCAGATTATTCGCTTTTTATTAATTCTGCTTTGTTCTCGTGCACACAACTTGATATATTAACATTACGTAGGCTTTGTGTTGGGTGCATATATTAAAAAAAAGTTCCTAAACCTGCCGTTTTACGAGCGTGTTGCGTGCTATTATTCAAACCCTTATTTTTATGTTTGCGTCCTAGCTGCGCATAATGAAATCCCTTTACCTAATTCGACCGAAAGTGTTGGTAATTTGTAGGAGCGGATTTGGTCAATTCAGATTTAATTCTGTTAATCCTTGAAAAAAGTCCATAAAATTATGCTTCTTTGTTCAATGTCCTGTTGTCGTCGTCTATGGGCTATGACAGTTTGGTCTATATTCAGCTTCAGCAGACCGAAAACAGTATTTTATGGTAAAATTTACAATGCCCCCGGGTAAGCAAACTTCCTTCAACTTCCTTGCCGAAGATTAGCTGGCTTTTACAGCACTAACCGAGTTTGTTCTGGCATTTGCATAATTTGGCGGTTTTCTTAAGTTTAAGACTGAAAGTTAACGGAAACGTCTTCGTTAGTAGTCGAGGCGAAAAAGAGAACATTTTCAGTTAGCTCCTGCTTTAGACGGTTTCAAGAGTCGATGACAATGAAATGAAAACATTGGCACATTTATTTTGTTTCAATTCGCTTTAGGCAATTTCAATAATGGTGATATAACGATAAATTGGATTATTATCCAAACTAGGGAGGGATTTCTCTAATTACCCAAATAGAGCGTGTTCAGATGTAATTTATCTGCTGTCCGACGATAAAATACGACATCACTGGATAGGTCAGTCGAAAACGTGATTATCTCTGTCTGCGTTTTGTTCTGGTTATTTATTTTGTTTGCATAAATCCACGTGAAATACCAGATAGTCCTGCAGAATTCAAATGGTACTGTGAACATGTTCCATAACTTTCACCCTAACGAAAAACCATCTTTTTAAAATGCTCCCAGTCTAATTAAATGTTCTAATTAATTAACAGACGAGTGCAGGGACCTGCTGTTTTATACACAGTGCTGCAATGCAAAACTCTTCAAAAAAAAACGGCCTTAATTATCTGTCTCACTCGGCTCAGTTGAAAGGAACTAATTAGAAACTCGCTATAAACTATTTTTTAAGTTGGCAGTTTTTTTTTGTTTGTTTCGTCGTTAGTAGATCAAGTTGAAGTCTGAATTGTGCCATTTTCGCCAACAACCTTCTTGGTTGTTGGGCTGATATCTCACTCTTGCTTTGATCCATTTCCCAAGCTTTCTCATACTTGATGGTGTTGAATACTGTATCCTTCATTTTATAGAAGTTTTGATGGGGTTGCGCAAATGTTTTATTTCAAGTTATAGCTTTCCTCCTTCTGCAGCTCCGATTCGGATATGAATTTTCCTCAAATTTCCCTGCCGTTCTTTATCAATACGCCATAACTTAGACTGTATATTCGTAAAAAACACGATGCCAGCACTGTAACGGGAATTTATTGCATCGCTTTTGGCAACTTGTGCATGTCTGAAAAAGAAAATTTACGACTCCCCGAGTTACTTGAGCGGAAAACCTTCCGGGAAAAGTGTTTGTAATTTTCTTAAGCTTCTCGTTTGCTCGTGGAAATGACATAGGAATATCCACTAAGACATATTTGATAAAATCGTTCAGTTTTAGTGGCAATCGATGGTTTTATTTTCATAGTTTCCAACCCTTATTCATCCACTCGCATTCAAGAACCAGTCGAAATATACTCTAGGTAGTTGTAAACGACGTTTCTATTAAACAACAGTGGTCACTTATTCGCCCTAAAAGCTGTCTCCATTATAACCCAAACAAATGTACATTTAATTCGGGCCTCTTGACGTTAAATTAAACTTGCTTACGACCCGGTTATTATTTCACTGGCATAATATTTATTTTGCAATTAAACTCCCGTCAAATATTTGGTTTGCGTCCGGGGACAACGTTGGTGAAGCACGACTCTTTGCTCAAGTTTTGAAACGATGCCAAAAGGGCCCGTATTATTCAAATGTCAAAAGTGGCGAGTTGGACATGTTTTATGTGGAAAAGAGCTTTGAAACGGAATGACGATCGACCACGACTAATATTCATCCACTGTGAACATTTGTCGGAAAAATCTGTTCTACCCGTATGGTAGAAGAAGTAAAAACTTTGGGACTTTCTAGTTATGGATGATGTCAGTGTGCTTTTGCGGCAAAGAAATATAGGAAAGATCTGATGTTAGGATAAGCATATGCTTCCAACTTAAGATAGCGATGGATCGGTAGGCGAGATCGGGTGCAAATGTAACATTTGCTACTTGTGATTTTGTTCAGAGATGACTTAAAAAATATTCGTAAAGTGTTTCAAACGTACCCATTTATGGGACAGTTGAAACACATACGAGGGCCAAATGTAACAGTGCCGAATTTGTAAGGAAACCGTGATATTTTCAAATAAAACATTGATTCAAAAGCGAAATAACTTAAATTGAAATAAAAAAGTATTGGTTCTGTACAAATAAAAACAGTATATAATTAATAGCTATTAAAAAAATGTTTGCGTTATGGTACGCCCGACAGAAGTGATAACTTCATATTGTTAATAGAAACCGTAAAAAAATGAACTTGTTTAACACATGATGTGGATGAGCTTCTATACATTGCAATCAAATTGGATAATTAGCTCCTTTAACGCATCCACAAGACACCGGCTCAGGGATTACACACTATTATATTCACACGAACGGACCACAGTCTACACACTATTATAAAAGACGATCGGCCTAATAGATCCAGATGGAACATTCGCTTTTCATTCATACATTCATTGCAACATCAAAACCCTGAGCCCATTTCTTACATTTGTTACACTGAATCCACGTAACTCTGGAGCTTTTGGTGTAAGTTTCAAAACAGTAGGGACACAGCGAATCTTCAGTTTCATCATCTGTACTCTCCAACATGTTTTTCTGCAGCTCGTTTTGATCGGTTTCTTGTCACTTATTTGCTCTTCTTATTTTTCGTTTTTGTATCCAATTGTTTTTCACTCATGTCTATTTTTATTCTCACTGAGTTTGAATTATGCTTCCGTAAATTGTGTTGTTTTTCTAGCAATTGTATTCCTGGAGTGTCTGTGAGAATATCGCTCTGATTTTTTGCTTTCTTTTTTTTTGCTGCACCAGGTGCCTTTGGCGAGTGAAGTGTCCGGATCTTTTTCAGCACTAAAAAATAAGTATTATGTTCCTTCTCATTGGAATAATTGTGACAATTGTATCCAATTTATCCTATTTTCGAAATATTGATTTGACTATATTCAGAGAAGTATTTCATGCTGAACTTGATCGAAATATTTTTCCCGTTAAATAAGCACACTTTGCCTGCTGTTTCTTTGGAAGCGCTATAAAGGCAATCTTTCAATCTGGTCTTCGTGGATTGTTTTAACAGTTCCGTTAGAACGTTGTCTTGTTCAATGCATTCTCCTGATTTTGTGGCAGGAAGAACTTCAGATTCAAAAATGTTTAAGGTCTTCGTCTGGGTTTACAGTATGTTTAAGCTATCGTCCTCGAAAAAATTTTCATTATCTACCAGAGTATGAGTACCGATCATTAATTGACAATCTACTTCCAATTAGACGCCCGTTTCTTATTGTTTTATTTCTCTTTTTTTCTTTTGTATTATTCTGCTTGGTCGCTTGAGTTTGAGGGTAAAAATTGGCGCTATTCTTCTAAATGAGCGAGTGAAACTCTGAAAGTCGTTCCTCAACAGCACTCGGTATTTGTAAAATATTGCGTCATCATTCCCAAACTTACACAACATATAGAAATAAGAGCCTGCTGAAGAAACGAACAATTATTACAGTAATCGATAAACCACATAAAAGAAGGTTCTAAAGCAGGCATTTACATTATCAACAAAACAAACTAGATAGTAAAACATTAAAGATATCCAGCTAGATATAGCGAAGGTCGGTTCATCGATTAGGTTTATGTATGAAAGGCACGAAGGGTCCAACTAATAAACCATCATTGTGGCATGAATCAGTTAATATGCAGGCGAACACGAACAGCTGCGTGTCGAATTTTCAGCCGAACACATATAGTTGTGCCGAAGCAAAAAAATGCCCTTAATATTACGGTTTATACTCTAATTTTCATCATTGATTATTTCTCACTTAATCTCCATTTTCCTATTGCAACTCAGACACTAAACAACCGTTCTTCAATGTTTCAAAATGTGGTCTTTTCAGCTTTGCAAATTAGTCTTTCGTCATATTTCCTCTGATCTCTTGCAGTTTTCATCCTCAAAACACAGTTAGCAACTCATGTGCCTTCTTTGCACTATTTATTTTTATGTTATGTCAATGTTCTGAGACATGAATCAGTGAGAAGGATGGTGATATTAATCAGTTATGGTCCAATTAATTAACCTAAAAAGGGCCTAACCCAACGCCACCTTATCATAGCAAACCAAAACTGGCCCTTCATTTGTTATATTTTTAGGACACCCCTGATGCCCTATCTGGTTTCATTATCTGAAGGTTCGATGTCGGCTCTCCTCGTATTGCTAATAACAATCGGGGGGAAGTCCACGCAAACCATTGTTCAGACGAAATTGCTTCCATGTTTAGGACGGACATTGATGAGGGCACTCAGTCAAGTTTTCGATGCCAATCCGATAAGACCTAACCGGAAGGGCGTAGCAAAAGGTGAATTTAAGTTTGTCTTTTACGTGCCCCAGAAGCAATCAGACCGTATTTTGCAAATTTGAAGCAAATGGAACGAGGACCCAAACAAATATGCCATGCGTTTAGCATGTTTTTCCACTTACCTCTTGAATATGTTGCGGCTTAGCCAGCATTTACATGCAAAAAAAGTGATGCCGCAATCAAGAGATTTTTATCGGATCTGCGCATGGAAAATCAGGAGGACTTGACCTTAAAACTTCTCTCTCCTGTAGCGCTACCAAGAGAAAACGACCGGTTCTGGAAAGTCGTATGATTGGGGGAAAATTAATATTTAGAGTAAATTGAGGGACACGTTTCCGCAGATGTTGAACTTTGATCGATTCTGGCTCCAACTTTTCGTGATCCCATGCACAATATTAAGTGCCTTTATTGACCGATTAATATCATTTAAAGACTAGTTGTTCGTGACTTCATTACTTACACAGCTAAGGTACTAATTGCCCTTTAATTCTTCCCCATTAGAGCCGAAAAGTTTCTGCAAATGCTAAGGATCAATATTACTTATTAAAATTAACGGGCGTACTTATGGAGATCTTTCGTGGTTAGAAAAATTAACAGTTGATTCCGTACCTTGTCCCTGATCTCCTGTCTCATCTTCTCGCGTTCCTCCTCCATTTTTCTGTGCTTTTCTTTGCGTCGCTCTTCAGCTTCTCGGATCGCTTCTTGTCTCTCCCTTTCGGCTTCCTCCTCCTTTTCTTTGTCGTCTCCATCATCGTTATCGCCACCGACCGCTCCTAAACATAGTCATCAAAATAATAGAACGATGTCAATTTTTACTTGTTTGAAATGCAGATGGTGACAGTCACATAAATACAAAAAGTTGCATTATTTGCGTTTATTTAGTACAGAATTCGAACTTTTAGAGTTCGGTATTTGCATGCTGAGATCGGAAACACTGCGAGGAATTTAAGGATTTGTGGAAAAACTTTCACTGTTTTCCCGCTTACACTGTTAAGATTTAAATGTATGCAGATGGTGCTAGTTTCGGATGCATAGCGTAAGCTCGCCCTTCTCAGGTAGATTTAGAATATCTCAAAACCGTTTTGTGGAATTTTACATGTTCTTGAGTGTAACAAATCCGAAGTTGCACTTTACGATTATTTTGACAACTCACTAAATGTATTTTCGCTCAAAAGTTGCTAGAATTCTTTAAGTAGAACGCCGTTGATTCAAGGCGATGGTAAACAACGAGTAAGTCCGTCTGATGATACCAGGCAGTGGAACCGGCGAAACCTTCTGTCGTTCATAGTTTTTGTAATTAATTTTCTAATGAAGCATTTACCTAGGCTAAATTACTGCCTACTAGAATAACCCTATTAAATTCATTCTAAACTAAGTTACGGATTCACTCAAGTGAAGTCTCTTCGTTTCCTTCAACGTTTCCCATTAATATTAAACGCTTGGCGGGATTTTTGCCAAAAGGTTTCTAATAACGACCCCGTTATTCTAATAGGTGGAGTTATCCAGGACTACGTGTCGTACCCGCGGTTTTGTCGTTGATAAATGCGATCTCCCCCAACTCGACCGCCACTGCTAAATGAGGTTAATAATCGGAAATTACTGTGGCCATTTCGGCCACTTTCCCCAACATTTATCGGAGCTGATTTGCTACAGTTTATGTATCTGCCTTAATCTGGTCAAAATTTTGCCCTCAGGTATCTACTCAAAGACGTTGCTAAACTTAAAAAATATATTGAGCTTAGAGGAAAGTTTCAGAGCGTCTTTCAGCTTTGTCGTTTCTTAAATTAGATTTGATCATAAGTTATTAACGTCACAGTAGATTAAGTAAGTGGATATTTTATCAACAACTCCAGTCTAAAAGTGAGACACTAAAAACCCAGAGTCTTTGAAAAGAGCCCCTGTTTAATGCGACGACTCCTCCCTACACCCATATAATAACAATATCGTAATTAACGGCGTCCATTTGTTTCCCGTACACGGCATTTAACAAATATTTTTAATATTTTATACATGTAAATGATAATTTATTTAACGGGCTGTGTTAAATCATAATATGTCAAAGCGAGTCGGCGGTTTAATTGGTAAAATAAATATATTCTTTGTTGCGTTGGTTTGGCACTATTTTCTAAAACAAAGCGCCGGCTTATTTATGGAAGTTATTAAAAAATTCCCGATAACAATCGGCCATAAGTTTGGTAAATATTGGATAAAAACGGGGTGTAAAAAATGTGTGGCTTGCGGTATTTACTTTTTGCACGAAGTTGAGTTTTTGCATAAAGTTCTTGGTCTAAATTGAATTGAACAGCTTGATATTATCGCGCTAACTTGAAGGGAAGTCATCTTTAACGGTTTATTTTAGGGCAGTTTTGCAGAAAATTCAGCTGAAAAAAGTTCAAGCGATGAAAATTGTAGGAATGGTTTTTTCTCCATCTCACAAGTATCTGGATGTTAACCAGTCGGACAATCTAGCTAATTACAATTAAAGGAACCCATTTAGTAGTTTAGAACTTTTCAGATTAACTTAGTTTCAACCGTGCCAAACTATAACGGAGGTTTAAAATTCCATTAAAGCGACTCAACATTCTGGTAGGAAAGTTTTATCTGTGCGGTATTACATTTTCCTGAACAACAAAACTCTCCCAAAACGACAAAACTTGTTTCCTGTTTTCACTGCTTTATTTTTCCTTCCACCGCGTAAACTTTCCAGGATAAATACGGGGAATAGATACGGGACATTTCCGCGAACAACAAAGTAAATAATTTTGACTCTTTTCCCTATACTAGATGGGCAAAAATCGAATTTTATCGTTTTGTTCACGGCCCTAGCCTAGACGATATTCTCACTTATCATTGCGGTTTTGTTTGTTTTGTGACCGTTTTACTGCAAACAGCTCGAGGAGTTCTACAATTTGCTTTAATTTATTAGTGTTAAAAATGTATTGCCTCTTTAGTATTTCCATTATTATCTTGGCAATGTTGATTGATAAATATTTTCGCTTTATTACCCTCAATCGCTATTAGGTCGTAAAAATCGCCTCTAAACGAGAACGGTCCATAACGGGGAAAAATGGACAAACGCACGTGCTTCTTCTCTTATTCCGCTTCATCACCATTCCAGGCCTCAGCAACGATTTAACAAAAATGATTCAAACCATTCAGTGTCGAAGCCATCCATTCTTGCCACTAAATCATCTAGATTTTATGAGAAAATCTAAATTATTTTGCAGATAGACGTCAGCCAGCCGATTTTCATCAATTTGTTGCAATCTCTCTTCTAAGACATTTTCAAAGAGGCGAAGTTTATTCTATATTTAAAAACTCAGCTCGCTGGCTTATATTTAATCACCCAGCTTAATCTGCCTGGAAATTTACGGTTGTTTAACTGGTAAATCCGATAGAGCTGTAACTTTTGCAGGAAAAACCTGGCGCATTGAATTATTAGGCAGTTGGAAAACTTTTGAAGTTCGTACCAGAAATGAATATAATTGAAAAGCCACGATTTTAACATCCGTGTTTGTGCATTTTTTCAAGCAAACTTATTTGTTTGAGATTTTTTTTACTAAACCTTATAAGTGAACCCAGTTTTACATTGCTAATATTAATGTTTCCAATATCTTCTATTCCTATACTAGACGCTGATTGAAAGCTTTTGTGTCTTTGAACACAAACCAAAAATTTCCAGCAGGAATTTCTTATTTGAAAGTCCTATTTTATTTCTTGTGTTTACACTTTGTTCTTCTATAAAATTGGATCCGAAAAAAGTCTAGATCCCTTTCCAAATAGGCAGATTAAAATAATTAAAATCTGAAAAGCGGCTTTTATCCGATAGCTTATCCGATCGGGATAACTTGTGTGATGTGGCCACGCTTTTCAAAGTTTTTCTTTGTATCGAAAGAAAACCGGCCACCTGGAATGGGCCATGTCAAAGTAAATCGCATTAGGCTAACATGTTTTCAAACCTGGGTAGGCATTTATTTTCTGAAGAGATTTAGTGGGAGATTTTGTTTTTTGGACCTTGCAGTATTGAGTGGACTTTGGGCAATAGGATTTAATAATAAAAGACTATGAGATTGACTTCATGTTGTTCAAGCTTCTTTAGCAGTGTTTAAATCGAGACCAATAAAAAATGATAGGGATTTCCAACATGTTTTCTTTGGTAAGCTTGTTTTTTGAATAACGGGTGAATAAAACACTTAACATGTGTTTTGAAAATTCTTGTGTCTGAATGTCTTAATTTCGATGCTCTTACCATAATGATTGTGAAGAAAAGGGGGGGTTCCTTACCTGAAACAAAAATTGACCCTTATTAAATGAACAACTATTTGCATATTACAGCTTAAAATTAAATATGGAAAGCTTGATGTTTAGTAAGAAGCGATTTTTCATGTTAGCACCACTTTTTATTACTTCTTATTGTTTTCGGTGTTTATTCTTAGTATTAAGTTCCAGTTTCTTGACCGATATCGAATAATTGCAAGATGGTTGATTTACCTTTCCTTCATTCTTCACCACTGCCCAGAACAAATTTCCAAGAAAATCACCCTCTTGCAATTATCCTTAGTATTATTTTTCTTGTCTGCTCAATTTCCAAGTTCATCACCTTTTGGAACTTCTGAATTAATTTTACTGATCAAGCAACGTTATTTAGTTTTATTATTATTTTGTGGTGATGTTAAGAAAATTCCTCTTTGAGGTGGATGAATGACTCAAATGCTTTTCTATATATTTTCGCACTGAAACATGTAAAACCTCTGAAATTAATGGAGATTTTTGGGGGGATTTTGTGAACCAGAAAGCTTCTGGATGGCTTTCAATCAAGCAAAATGCTCAATTAGAGTTTCGACAGGGTCCAGTTATATTCGACGTCTTTAATGAACCACCAACAATAAAATACCGTAAAATCCAGCGTAGTTTTACGTATTGATATTGGATGGATTTTCCTAAGCGCCCGGTTTGCAATCTTCCCGAAATGTCTTTGACTGTAAATTTTTATTAGCAACTTTCCGGGAACGAGTCCCGAATGCATTCCAGTGTACACACTAGCGCTCGGATAAATTACGAAAATCCCGACTGCGTTCCTGTTCCGTACAATGTTATTACCCTCATTCTTACATATTATTACCGCGGTATCCTGTCTTGCTACTGAACGGCGCCACCTCCATAAAGCTGGAACAATGGATAATAAACTTTGAGTGATTGCTGCCGGTAAATCGTATACCTACAGAAAAATTGCACGAAACTCTACAAGGAAAACCAGCTGATTTTACCTTAGAAAGCGTATTTCTTTATTTACTGCATTTTTTCAAGCTCAGGGAATAGTCGGGATTGTTGGGAATTCTTTGGCTGTCTCCGAGTGCCCTCTTGAAATTGTCAGCTCTCAGTTTGCAAAAAAATCGTTGAACGTTTCGCAAAATTAATTGCCTGAATGTTTTAATCGAATTTCCCCCCTGAAAGTGCGATTTGAGGGGGAAAAAACTTGCAATTTTTCCCGTTTTGTTGTTAGTCGCGAGGTTAACGGTTATGAGACACGAAGGCCTTGACGTTTATTTTTAGGAAACATGCGTTTTATGAATATTTATTCACATTTAACGCAATAAACAGGATGTATTTCCTTCAAAATAGAGCAACGTTTCTCACTGGAGTCGATTTATAAATTATGAAACCAGCGGAAGTGAAATCGTGTATTTTTGTGTTTTCCATGTGTCCTGTTACTTTTTGTGGTAGGTTAAAGCGGCCATAGCAATCTTGCGATTTCAGATAAAGGGGTTGAAAT